TGATGATGATGATGATGATGGTGAGTAGTTCGTCAAAGAGTCTCGTGTGGGAACATGATGCAACTGAGGACTGAGTGATAAACAAACTCTTTCTTTGGAAATGTTTGGGATCGACTGGGAAGTCATCGTTTCAGAGAGGTATGCTAAGCAGTCGGATGCCAACACCAAGGCAAACGACTGTACGAAAGTTTATATGGGTAAGACAGCCACGGAATTGCACATAAGAATCGGTGAGCATAAGCGGTCCATTAATAGACCACCAAGAAACGTAGATGAATATCAGGCGACAGTCAAAGATTCGGCAATGGTAGGACATGCACTAGACACTGGACATAGGATAGATTTAGAAAATGTGGACATTCTGAGACGGGGTTTAAGATCCAAACCACAGGGACTGGTGACCGAGGCGGTGGAAATCGCCAAGCATCCCGTCGTAAATACAACAGAGGGTGTAGAACTTGCAAACGTGTGGAGAGTTGTCTTGGATCAGCCGAGTTGACACGAGGCGGTGTGCAGTTATCAGTGAAACGGTCTGGGTCTAAAAGTACAAGATCCAAGTAGAGTCAGATCCAATTAACCACCCTATCCCGAAACCAATTTTCGCGGCACTCTTTGATGAACACAGGTGAACGAACTCTGTGAACGACCCCGAGAGGAATTTTCCATTAAGGTGTCCAAGACTGAAGAAGCAAGGACCAAAAATCTGGGTTCATCATAAAGACAAATCCTCCCCCCTAACCAATCTATCGTAAATGTTAGTCATCCCCACTAGTCAACAGACAGAACACCCAGAACTGATCAAGTCGGCTCGTCATAAGAAATCTCACGGATTGGTTCCCTGACTGCTTTGAAACCCAGTCAACCTACTTACTTCGTCGCTTGACCTGACTGTGTCAGAAGCGAAACTTTGCCCGAAAATAAATCCACCACTTGTTTACCAAACCTCTGAAACCTCCATCCTGGTCAGAAAGATTTGGATACTTTAGGTAATTTGGGATATTTTAGGTAGAGATTTAATCCAACCTAACTTAACAACCAGCAACCTGATTTAGGATCAGTGTGACGTTGGATGTTTGATGACTGCGACTGAAGATCTGACCAGCTCGCGGTTCTAGATGAGGAACTTACCATGGCGGGGTAGAGGATGCTTCATGAAAAAATATCTAACCGTACTGGGTGTTTATTACCAAGAAGGATTTCAAGTCAGTCCAATTTCAAATGGTTCTTTGGCGTTCCAAGTGCCGTCTCAGAAGCTAGTTTGCCAAACTCCAAGACATTCTGCGTTGTGGATGCCTGCTCTGGGTCATCTGTAATGGTTAGTAACATAATCAGATGAGAATCTCCAGAAAAACATGGTTTCAACAGTTCGGTTAATCTTGTACCCCGACAGTTGATTACCACTCCCCGTTTCCGCAGTTGATGCAGCATACTCGACAGAAGAATATTCGATTTTTGAATATGCCAACTCTCTTGTTTGAATAATCGGTCATTGACAAGTGGGTGGCTCTGCTTCAGACGCACCGGTGTTGCTAAATCACCCATGATCAAAGTTCCGATGTTTGCTTCTTGCCCCCCATTGGTCAGTATACATTTGATAAAGATGAACAAATGTGACCTTGAGTTATGCTGGTTGCGATCGATTGTATAAGACTTACGTTCACAACCTACACGATTGAGTAGGGTATTGAAATCTCCCAAGCGATTTATTCGAACTTCTTTCTGGTCTTTTACAAACACGGTGGAACCTGTATCTTTGATCTGTACAGCTCGTTTAGAAAGCACACACCTAACTCGGTCATTGTAGATTTCAATAAATGATGCATAAAAAGAAATGTTTGTTTGCCCTTTTTCCGTGACTAAGCGTAGCAGATCGGCCATTGAAAATGAGGCAATTCCAGGTTCAACGGTATTTCCACAGCACGTGAAGGTTTTCCCACTTCCAGACGTACCGCTGTGTAGCACAGTTACATTATATCCATCCAGAATACGTTTCACCTGGTTTGATATACTCTGGTACACCTTGCATTGAGGTGTGCCTGGGGGGAAAATTTGATTGAAGTTATACAAACGGACAGTATTATCTGTTGTTGTTGTGCCTGCGGCCCCACAAATGGATGCGTTTTGACCTCGGTTGAGATATATACCAATTTTATCCTCTGCAGGCACAACAAGACAACCGGATTCGTACGGGAATCGTGTCGATTTTTCAGAGGATTCTGTTTTGCTGGTCTGACTACGTATTCGAACAAATATTCGGATGGTTCCAGCAACTTCTTGCCACCGATTAGCCAATTGCTGACGCTGAACTATGTCTTCTTGGAAAAGTTCCAGCTGTTGACGGCGTCGATTTAGAGCTTCAAGCTCTTCTCGATTACTTGCCCTGCTTGTTTCCAATCGAAGATATTCATCAACTAGACGCTGTCGTTCCAGCTCCATTCGTACACACTCAGCTCGAAGCTGACGTCTAGCCAACCTAGAAATATCTGTCTGTTCGGCTATCTCATTCAGCTGTTCCTTTAACCTCTGTATGGTTTCTTCCAGAAATCGATTTTCCGTGACGTGAACTAAACACTCTGCGTTCTCTTTGGTCAGCTGATTGTTTTTAAGCTCTTGTGCTTCCAACTGAAATTCCAGCGCTTGTCGATCATGGAGGAGGCGCTTGACTCTGGCAGTCAATTCTTCATTAGTCTGTTTGATTCTAGCCAACTCAGCTTGGAGATTTTGTGCTTCAATTACTTTATCATAACAGTCACGCTTCATTGATGTTTTCAGAAGTAACTTAGGGTCATATTCACAGTGTTCTGCTGGGTCGTCTGTTAGCTTCTCATCGGCGCCAACTTCTGGTCTCTTTGTGGTGCATTTATTCTGGTCATTCACAGCATATGGAACGTTTTCTTCCCTTTGGCAATCTAACTCATCCCAGTGTGATGTTTTAAATGAACTTTCGTCGGATTTAGTTTGACTGGTATTAGAGCTCGTGACACAACCGTCCTTTGTGTCTTTTCGTGAATTACTAACTTCTTCTGAGTCTGTGACATATGTTGCCGTTATACGCGTTTCAGTTGGGCTCTCAGGTGACAAGTGTCCAATCTCTACGCCTTCGGGAAATTTGTTAAACCTGGAGACCGTTGTGAAACAGATCCTGGGTGTACGTTTGTTTCGCATTCCCGTGGCCGAGTGACATTAAGTCTGGACGCCTTGTGAGCATTTCAAACACGTGTCACCAATCGATTTTGTATCGATCGAGATGACATTTAGGTTTAGTGTAGATAGAAATGCAAGTGTGTGTAACTGAACAAAGGACGTATGGTAACCCTGATAGGGTAGACCACAGGTTCAAGTACACCAAAACAAACAAACAAAATACGCCATACTGGGGAAATTACGGTGACAGTTTCCCGCATACCTGGATGGCGAAATTTCATGGTAGACAAACCAAGTATTGTGTCTTCCTGATAGGCGACTCACTCTGCTATGATATTAGGTTGAAATCGAACAATAAATCAGGCAGTCGTAAACTCATCCAGCTTGTTTTAAAAAAAAACTTATAGGCGATTTCAACAATTTTCCATAGACCTTTTTAGTGGTAATGGCGTGAACGAACAATTATAAGATGTACCTAGTGATACCTGAAACTTGACTAACATCCCCTAATTCGGCTGATGTTCCAACGTTTGCATTAGAAAAAGTTCGTTTCTCTTTGCTCTCTTTCGCCTTAAATGACGGAAATCGGGCGGCAGCTTGCAGTCTGATGGAGAACCATCAGCCTTGGATGTCGAGTGGAATCAAGTGTAAGAATGCTGTTTGCGGTGCTTTTTTCACGTAAAAATCGTCTCTCCGAGCTGCAGCTTATGGGTCGGCCGACCCAGCTTGATTTATAACCAATGGCTGAGTAGCGTGGAAAAGTAATGAGGTGTTGACTACTCCGGTTGTCCTGAATTAGTTAAACGCGTTGACTTAACAGTTCTTTGATACTCCAAGGGAATTTACATTAAGGCAGTTGTCTACAAACGACTGAAGTTCTTTGTTCTGTTCCCTATGCCATTCATTCTACAATCCACGCAACTGTCACTTGAGCTATTGTGGTATAAACTATTCCATTGATCTGCCAAAAGCGGTGGAACTTCTGTCCAACTACGGATGGAGTTCAACGATCATTTTGTGACAAATACCCATAACAAAGTTGAACAAACCAAGCAGCCAACGGAGGCTTCCAATCTAGTACATAACACAGTCGTTTTCATTTTGTTTGGTGGCGAGTAACGGGCTACTTGATGGTTTTGAATACAAGGCTGGATTTCGAATAAAAACAGCGCAATATGTTTTTGCATTGATACGGCACTGGCCATATCTTAATGACCAAGTATATAATGCATCTGTATGTGCTATACTCCTTTACGGATACGAGGACCATTTTACTTAAGGAACAGACCTAGAGAAGTCATCGCTGCCCACAAGCTATTATGAAGCTATGACGCAAACGCGGACAGGAGGGACTGATTATGACATGGTAACGTGAAGTGGAAACAGCTAAAGTGTCAACTTAAGTGTTGTGGGACCTTCTCGCCTTCCTGGAGGAGGCCTATATGATCCTGATTACAGGTGGTTGGAAACCTTGCGGGGCATAGCACGCAGCCAGTTCTGGTGTCGAGCTTGCCGTTATTTCCAGGCCGGATTGTTTAACTAAAACCCGCCCTAAGTTTATGTTGGGGGAGATATACAACGGACGTTATGCTGATCCCGCTAGATTCCTATCCTTCTCCCCACTTTCTGTTGCTTACCAAGGCTTCATTCTTTCACGCTTGTATGACAGTTAAGCATGAGCAGGTATTACTGGCTTGTCGCTTTCAAAGGGGATGGTGCTGTTTTTGATATGATGGCGTCGCTTGTATGACAGTTAAGCATGAGCAGGTATTACTGGCTTGTCGCTTTCAAAGGTGATGATGCTGTTGTTGATGATGATGGCGTAAGATCACGACCAGTGAGGACTAAGCTCACCTTCGTGTATACCGGAAACTACTGATTCAGTTTTTTGCACATACTCGATTACGTTGTTTGGAGGACGTCTGATGCATGTTATATGTGCGGTCACCAAGGCCAACATCATTTTTGAAGCCAACGCTTGGTTAGAAGTACCCAATAGCTTATCTGAGTTTAGGTTGGTTCAGACGTAAGCAAACTACCAAAACTGTGCAGGTAACTTTAGTTCTAACCCACCAGCTGGGTTAAGGTACATGCACAATTGGGAATCTTTGAAGCATAGCTCGAAATAGATGTGAGTGGAAATTCGTTGCCATATCACCGACACTAGTAAACAACCACACAGCATTCACGGCCTTGTTTCTTAGCAGTACTTCATCACAGTGGCAGGATATTGCTGAGTCAAGTGATCAGGTGGGTTTGAAGGATGGCGCACAATTTCAACTGGTGGTTGCGTGCTTGCGAGTTTTCCTATTCTGACGCACAACCAAAATCAAATTAAGTAATCTGCGTGTAAGAATATAGTGCACCGCGAAATCGCTTAATCGAATGCGTGGCCTGATATAATCGATTTCTTTTGACTAGGATCTGCTGCCTGATATTGAACGCGACTGTTTCCACTTTATCGATTTGCTTCGACTTTCTCAGCACGATGAAGGACACAATTACCCCATTCTACAGATTATCATTTATTTTTGAAGAGCATGTCACAAACATTAAAAAGTGAGTGCAAGCGATGAATGCGAAAGAGTAACAGGAGAATATGGGAGAAAAGAGAGAGAAACGTCTCATTCGAGATCATGCCAAGGGCAGTGCCAGTCTGATGAGGTGAATCCCAAAGTATGTAAAGATTTTGGTATGGGAACACGCGTCTAAAGACCAACAACCAAAGAAAGGACAAACAATGGTGAATGCTCTTCAAGGCGCAGTATGCGCTAGCACAGTCAAGACTCGCACATCAGGCACAAAGTGACCGTCATACTGGGTCTGGGGTGAGATTAAATGGCAAAAATGTACCTTCAGCGCCATGTGCCACGCATAAAAGTGTCATAAGTACGCAGGGAGCCCACAATGGCAAGCAAACACAAGTCACTGACTGCGACCTTAGGAAGTCCCAGTCCAATAACAGCCTTAGCGGATTGAGGAAAGCAGATTCCTCGATAAGAGATAATCATCGGTTGGTGAACCAAAAAGTCGATATCACAACCGATGGCGTGTAGGGTGCGAAAGGTGCCAAAGCGCACGATTGTTGTTGTATTTACTGATTTGACTGGATGGGATCGTAGTGATCCACAAAAACTTATAAGTGTGATTTTACTTCGACTAAACCTTTACGCGAATTTCAAAAAGTCACTAATTTTGCCGGTTTGGTAACGGTTTTATTCGACAGGCATTGTTCTTAGATTGTTTCACAGTGTTCTTACTTATTGTTCTTTCAGTTTGTAGCTGCTCTCAAAACAGACGGTGAATTACTTCTGTTCCACGTGGAAGAGGTAACCGAAGACACTCACGACAGTGTTCCCATACGGGTACGCCTCCCTTATCCCTACACGATTAGCATCAATAGTGGAACCGTTGGACTGTTGTCCAAAAACCCTTTTGCGGAGGCAAATGAAGAACTAGCCAATCAACTTCAGCTGTCATTCTCCTTACCATCCGAGAAAGAGAATCAAGACATGCTTTTATGGATTAGAGGTCAGTGTATATCTTGGTGGAATCTATTATCCAATGAGTTAACGAGCTGCTGAGTTTGCTAAGACCGCACGTATTCCCACTTTTGGAGTTCACGATACAGACCTTTCAATAAAGGAACTCCATCAGGTCCCAAATGTATCCAAGTGCATCTCTCCAACCGTTTTTGGACGAACCTCCAAGTACTCAGTGAGAATTACTGCAATAATCTTAATTCATATTGGCCTGATTTAGCGCAAAGCAGTTAGAAATGAAGTCCGCAAATACTCGACAGACTTTTGCTGTTTGTGGACCTTAGAATGGGCACCAACTGGTAGCTCGGGTGCTTTCGCTGTTAGTTGACCCGTGGGATACCATCGATACACACACTGGTGAGTCCTCACGATTTGTGGCGAGAGGTTTACGGGTCAGTTGTCAAGCTGATTGACCAGCTCATTAAGCACCTGATCAGCAAACAGATCTTTAGATGGTTGGTGCCCTGCATGCAATCATTAGTAGCTACATTGTGGTCCGTGACAAATTCTCGTCATTCTAGCGCATTTCTTTCAGCACTATGCTGTTTTAGGAACGCTCGCTAGTCCCTCAGCTTGACTATTGCCAATTCTTACGAAGAAAACAGACAATAATGCACTAATGTAACCGAATTGGCTGCATTATGCAGCCTCATGGTTTGTTGGTATGTTGCAAGTCCCTCAGCTTGACTATTGCCAATTCTTACAAAGAAAACAGATAATAATGCACTAATGTAACCGAATTGGCTGCATTATGCAGCCTCATGTTTCTGTTGGTATGATATTCGAGATATCGCAGTACATTGTCTAGAGGTAAGACGCTAGAAAACTCTTAAAAAATTATAAACCAAACTTTAAAACTTCACAAATTCTTCGACAGCGCACGACCGCTTTTGCACTTCCTGGGGCTTATCGGGTAGGCTCAATCACCGAGTTTCCCTCAACCTTATGTACTACTGGAACACAAATTAGACAGAATCGGGAGATTTGGCTGGAGGTCCATTCAAACATAAATTTGTACACACAATTAGGTAAATCCTATTTAATTTAGGTTCAAGTAGAACATAATATTGGCGGTAACTTGGGGATTGCGCATACCTGGTGGGCCCAAGAACGGCGAACGCGGTCCTGGGCTATCACTATTCTCAGAAACCTTGTGAATTGGAAAGAATATTTGGGAATTGTCGGTTGCAAGTGCACAATGTAGCGATCCAATGGTTCTTTTGATAGACAGTTGTCGATTTTGCTGGACAGAGTTTAATGATCCTAATCAATTTTGGCGGAACGCCTCTGAATATTTCGCGAAGCTGATCAGTTATCTAATGAAAACGGCATAAATGCCCCCAAACTCAGGGTGCCTCTTGTCGCCGGACCCTTCGCTGGAGGTATATGCTGCGGCTGTGGGTTTCGTGAATTCATTTAGATTCATGAATTTGGCATCGTTCAATCGTCCCTAAGGCGTGTCTGGTGAGGCACGTTATTCATTGAAAGACGACATCTGTCTAGCAGTTTAATCTTTTGGAAGTATAGAACTCTATTTTACACTAGCCCAGAGAATCTCTTAATCACAGCATCGTGGAGAACCCAGCCTCATTATCAGAACTTCCCTTGGCTGCACACGCAACTTTATCATCGTAATAGTAATTAGCACGAAATTAGTGTGTAAGCCCTAAGATTTCATTGAAGCTGATGTTATTCCATTATTCCAAGCTGGAAGGATAAAGTGACCTGGAAAGTCGAAATTTTGCAAAATGATTCAAATTTCAGTAATTATTGGTTTTTAATTTGCCATTTTAGGCGTCCGTCATGACAACTTGAGCGACCAGGGTACCGTAGAAAAGCTATTTTACGTTACAATTCCGTAAGTTTATCAAATTTATTCCGTTCATCATTTTAGAGATAACTTTACTGATAAATTGAACTTATCGCAGTTTTCTTTACTTGAACTCTCTCTTTTAAGATCGCGGTGTTCTACCGACCTGCAAGTTGCGCAACAGTCGAATTCTCAGATTGGCGGCACTTTTGAAAAGACAGGTTTCACCAGTTCTGTGCTAAGTGATACAACCACCTTTTTGGTGAGCAGGTAAGAACACAAAGTTGAACCTTCACGGCATCTTAGTTTTAATCTGCTTATTCACCGGGCTTAGTGGCACACCACTTATCAAACTGGCTAACGTCACTCCAACTTGATACACCCAGTTGATAATCCTGTGGGTAGTGTTCTTCCAGTCAATCAACCAATCAACAAATCAATCGATCAATCAGTCAACCTCTCAGTCGGTCAACCGATCAATCAATCACTCTGGCAACGCATCAATTATCCATGTAGTATGCCGCAAGTTGTTCTCTCGTACGATTGACTAAGCAGTCAACTGAGTCATAAAATGATAACAGATTCACTGGCCAACATTCCTTTGATTTGTTCGTTCGTGCATCAGATCCGTCGTTTCCTCAGCCAATCAGTATGTGGTATTTCCTGCGTCTGCGTCTCTTTTCGTTTAACCAGATCATTGTCACTGCATGATCTAGTTTTCCAGTTCCCAAGAGAACTGAGAACCACATAACGAATGCAGCAAATGGATGTATATCTCTGAGTTGTGCAGGATGAAGAATAAAGGTTAGCTCTTGTCACAGAGAAAAACAAATTCATGCTTATTTTCTTGTTGTTCTTTACAGAAACCGTCTGCGTGAAGAAAGAACAAGAGGACTTCAAAAACTTTGGGAAGATTTGCCTGAATGTATCAATGATAAGTAGTCTCTGATGTTGATAACTGAGTATGTCTTTTCTTATGATAAATACTTTTAGCTTAAGAATGCGTTTTAACAGTCACACTTCACGGGATGGAGCAAAAGATGCACATGTTCGACTCCGGCGTTGTTTCAGAGAGCCACTGTGTCGGAAAACTGGGGATTCCAGGAAAAGTTTGTCCATTCGATTGTTCGAAACAGGATCCGATTACAAATACTGGAGGTTGGGATTCACGGCCAACTTGTAGCAAAGCAGATAATTCGAATCAGTGCACCGTGAAAACGATGTTTGCGCATGGCGTATTCGATGATTCATAGACCAAACCAGAGCCCAGTCATCAGAACCGTTTGACGACCAGTGTTTACAAGAATAATTGTCCCCAAAACCGAACCAAAACAGTTTTCTACGGAAGAAAGCAAAAAAAACAATGATGACTTGAATGAATTGATGGATGCTGGGCCGGACTAACCACGAGAAGTTTCAATAACAAGCAATCTGAAAAATAGTGCTGTTTTTCGTACATAGGTGAACATAGCCACAAGAAAAGTGACAGAGTACATAAACTCTTCTTAAGAACTTCCCACTAACCAGAGATCACTCCTCCAGAAAAATGTAGCAACGTACTTAGGTAGCATTGAAGACTTGAAACAGAATTACTCAGAATGACCCAGAATCTGCTACCGTGATACCTATACAACCCGAAGTGAACTTTTCACGTCATCATCTATTGCGTTTAGTGCTTGTTGATTGAAGTAGGCGACGAGTGTTATCCGAGTCGCATCTATATCACGGTTTGCTGATGTTCAGTGAATCAAGTCTTACTGTGTTTAGTGAATTTAGCCCCATTATTATCATTGTTAGTATTATTACTATCCAGGATACTACAATTGTGGCTGACGTACTCAAACACTTACTTCTGTCTTACTGTGTTTAGTGAATTTAGCCCCATTATTATCATTGTTAGTATTATTACTATTCAGGATACTACAATTGTGGCTGATGTACTCAAACATTTTACTTCAGTCTCCATAACCTCCATAATGTCAGGCTATTTTCAGGTGTCTCGTGTACTTTCCTGACTTCATGCTTAAGTGTGTCCCAAGCAACTTCAAAATTCTGATTAATAATTAATTGCCTGTCCAAGTGTTTGGATGTTTGGTTGTCGGTCTGTTCGAGGAGATTGGCAGTTGGATTGAAAACGTTTCCTCACCAGTTTGGCTGACCTGGTCCTTGCGGGTTTGAGGGCCCGTGCTTATACAGTTTCCAAAGAGTACTGAATAACTCTTAAGTGACTCGTTTGTCGGAGGTGGTCTTCGTATAATTGGATCGGTCACAAGGATCCGGGAGAAACGTCTGTTTATACCAAGTGTCCCAAAAAATATCCATGCTGGAAATCTGAGATTATTCTTCTGTAAGAAGAAGATAACCTTCGACAGTTAAGGTCAAGCAACGATCGAGAAACGGTGCTTATCCAATAGAACTGCCTCCACTGCTTACGCATGAATTTATTGTTTTGGAAAAAATTAGTCTTTCTACCCCCAGAAGTCATATGTTTTGAAAGACTGCCAATTGTATCATTCTCCTCATGCAGGGATGGCGAAAAGTGCAGATCTCTAACAAGAAAGCCTTATTACTTAGGTGGAAGGAACAGACAGGAACAACTAGAATAGGTTTACGCGATTAAAGCTTCAATTTTTCTGTGTTAATTCGGACGGTCAAGGTCTCAAAGGTTGAAGCTGTTTGAACCACAGCAGCACACGAAAAAATATCATTCGGATTCACCTGATAATCTGGTTGTGGAGTGCGGTTGGCAATAGTGGATGGTCTTAAGTGGTGACCCTTTTGAGTGAGCTGCACACCTGCTTCAGAGATGTACCGTGGTGTTTGTTTGGTCCAACACTCTGATGGACCACTTTCTCTTCTGCTTCTACAGTCACAGTGGAGTTATCAGCTGACTTTGCGGTAGACAAGTCCGTCTAATTACACTTGCGCCATGGGAGAACGATCCCATTGTCAGTTTGAGGTTTGTGTGGATTTCCACTTTTATGCACAAAATTTAAGGCCAAATTTAGTTCCTACCTAGTAACATTGGCTACATGATCATCTTTAAATGGTAAGAACAAATAAAATGGCCTTTTAAGCTTCCTAGATTTTAGGCTTCTGTTCGTATTAACAAATGGGATAGAGGGGGCCAGGCGCCTTTGATTCATCATGCGAGGCGCTTCTGTTTTACTTGGGCATCTTGGTTTCTTATCATCTCAAAAGTTTGGTAAAGCCCTTCTGTTTCACAAACATTATACTCGTTTTACCGACTTGTTTTTCAGCATATTTAATCTGCTGAAGACTAAAGCCGGTCATAATGAATTGACTCAACACTTTGGAAGCTCAGTATGGCTCCATTGGGCATCGCAAACAGACCGGTTTAAACCGTTTCTCCTGAGGCAGCATAAAGAAAGAGATTCAAAACTACACGATAGTTGCAAACAAAGATATTCAGAACCTGGTAGAATGTAGGAAAACACATCCATAATCCCACCGATACGCAGACAACTTGTCCCTATATAGAAGTGTTCGATCAAATTCTCTAGCTTTACAGTTGTCAGAATTCGCAGATCATTATCCTCATCACCATCACCATCATCATCATCATCATCTTCATCGCATTCGAGGCGTGGGCTGATAAATTGGTGGAGAGATACACAGCTGTCGGTGGAATTTTGATTGGGGGATTAGACAGGGAGCTATGTACTGAGGGCAATAGCTTGAATGCACGAGGGCTACTGAAACCGTGGCTGGACCATGTCTGACAGTACCTCCTAGATTGATGTGGCCCTTCTCGGGGTTCCCATGTAGGAATGCGATAATGACAAGCGCAGCTGAGTTTGTTGGTAATGGGATTTACACTTCCCTGCCAAGCCACGCAGATTGAAAGAATATGAGATCTGAAACTCTTTCAAGTCATGATTGTAAAGGAATGGGGACAATCTTATCCCGATCAATAGGTTCATCACGGTAACGGGTTACATTGTCCTAGTTGGATGATGACCTTGGTAGACGACTGGTACCTCACATACAGTAATAGGGGGACTCACCAGACCTCTCCAACTTCCCATAACTACGCAAAATCATACGGACTTACTGATCCGTTTCCTCTGTGTTTGGCATACCATCCAGATCGTAGATAGGTTCGTTGGCATACGGTGGTAATCCGTAAAGGAATTCTTTCAGATTACGGAAGAGTGTGGCACCCTGCGAAGAAGAAACACAAGTGGGCTTTGGACAAGTCAGCAAGAATGTTTAGAGTAGCTGATTGACAGAGTCCCTATAGATGCAGTTATTTCTAATGAATTACATAGTAAAAGTAATCGGTAGCAGTTTTTTTACATCTGTGTTGTGCAACATTTCACATAACTATCATAAGTGCATGGAGGTGTTCCCTGCAGGGATGTAACCGCACAAAAGTGCACGGAATGATAAAATCGCTAACTTCTATCCTCCACGATGTGCACGACTGTTCATGGTCACTTCTAAATGAGATTTTCGCCCAGTCACCCAGGTTAGCGTGCAAACGAGCAGTTTAGAAGTCTAAGGCAAGATAGGGACATATTCACGTAGAAAATATGTCAGACTAACGAACCAGTTACCACCAGCTCTGTTACTGTAACAAAGATAAAAAAATATCCACTGGTCCGGGCAAAATTTTATCAGAAAATTGGGGGGAATGTTGGTAGTTCAGGTAGCGTAGAACGTAGTCGCTTGTTTCACTGCGATGGACACTTTGATTGCCAATCAAAGTGAGAACATCGGTGTGCCGTTAGGAGATAAAGTGACACGTTGAAATAAATCTGATTTATGCACCACTACTTTCAAAGGACCGAAGCCTGAACGAAAGATTATGAAAATCGGATTAAAAAATAGGGAAAACGGGAAACGCCGGGAACTCACGTCAACAAAGGTCCTAAAGTGAATTCTACTAAGGTGAAGGGCGGGGCCCTCTCGATCACCAGTCAGTGGACGAGAGTATCGGAGGCCAAACTTAAGGGTCACGTAGTCACCGACCATTCAGAACACATGTCAACAGACCAACCAATAGAACTGTCTTACCGAATAACCAATCATGGTCGACTGTCGGCTCCGGCTAGCAGCACGTACCTAAACGTGCACACACGACTACTCCACGCGCAACCACTGACGCACCGCCTCACTCGCCCGTCAACGAGCGGAGCAACGGTGTTGTCACCAAGAGCGGCGATGAAATGTTTGCAATCAAACTGCCTAGTTCAGCGATCACTTCTCAGAGCAGGACACAGTGATCATGACACCCAGTAATCTGTTACAAACAAAATAATTTCATGTGTGGTGTTGGGTGATTCAGGTCAACTGATTTCCAGCAGTGTGCCTTGTTAAGCAAAATGGTTCTAGTGGACGACAGGTAGCCCCGTTTGAAGAAGTTTAGCGTCAACGCCAAAGTCGAACGTAATTCCTAACCAGCCGAAATATCACGCTTATGATGCACGCTTAGTGGTGCACCACCCGTTACATAATGACGACACATATATGTACTGTCTAGCTAACAGTAAAATATTTTTAACCACACGGCCCGGTTCTCTGCATGAACCTCAGTGACCACTTACGGCCAGATTGACTATGGGCACACGTAGCAATCTCCATGGTAGAATTTGTTCCAGCGGCAAATTCTGATCCGAAAGAAAAACACGGAATCCGGTTATTCCCAAGCGATGCTCTCCGTATTCACGACATAAAGCGTCCGCTCCGTACCAGCCCAGAAATTCTCCACCTCTGACTGCGTACGGATAGAATGCAAGGATGAGCTGGCGTTTGTTTAATGGATGAAAAAGACAGAAGGGAAGGGGTTGAAATTAGGAACATCAAATAACCTTCGGTTTTATTAGATAAGATTCACAGAGACATTTCGGCTTGTTGATCACATAACTAAGAAGAGATACAGAATGTGGGATTTGACTGTATTGACCGTCCGGTTGACTGGGTCATTTGCATGCATCCACTTGAGAAGTAGCCCTTTCCGAGAAATGACCACAATTAGTTTTTCCAGCATCTAGTTTAAACTCCAATTCCGTGGTTTCTTGAAATGATTCTTGGTGATATAGTGAGTAACCTCATGAACCAGCGAAACAGGCGACTTACCATATTTCAGTAACTCCCCCCTGAAGAGGGGACGTAGCTGATGCACAGCTGTCTTGTCCTCACACTACTAAAAATCTGTAAGTAGCTCAGGAAAAGAATAATTTCACAAGATGAGTAAAGCTCATCAGAGTAGTTAGTCGATCAGCTAGTTAACACGTGACCACGTGGTACGCATTCTGCATGCTGATATAGCAAGCGATGACTACTGAAGCGTGCCAGCGATGACTTGGATGGTAGGAAATGGTACATAGCTCGTAGTGAAACAGCTAATGTAGCAAAGACACCTTCATGAACAATCTTCATTCACTTCACTTCAGGAAATTCAAATTCATAATGAGGAGGAGTGTAGAGGGATGCATGCATTAGCATGTTGAAGAGAAGTGCGCGTTAGTTTCTCCCATGGACGATGGAGGCAAAACATTATGTAAGAAAGCCAAGCAGAAAGCACATGGACAAACCATACCAGTACAAAATGGCATCGATAAAAACTAGTAACTTTAATCGAAATCGGTGACAAGGCATGCGTAAATTGGGGAACATTTGCTTGATTGTGATAACTCACTCGTAGACGCGCAGATGGTAAGTTCAGCTCGAGAGAATGGTGGTCTAAACTTGATAACCTGCGTCGCTGACAGAGGTAACGGCGAACATACAGAGACACCGAAATCCGTAGTGTAAACTAGACAATATCAGTGACAATCGACACATCATACCACGAAAACAACAGTGTGGATTTCATTCCGGAATAACCGTACAATTAAATCTCCGTGTAGAAAGGCATTGCTGATCTTTCGAGATAAGTATTGTATATATGGAACAGATGAACCAGGCGTTCTACAAGTAATCTGATATTGCTTTGCATGGTTTCCCCGTTGAAACGCAACACCTACCTAGACAAAATCGTAAACAAGTTCTTATTTACGTGATGCTACTAATAAGGTTGACAAAAATTCTTTGTGGCTTGTTCTCCATGTCACCAACATCGGGATTCAGCATCCTAAAATGAACAGACTTCCTCCGATCCTGGTGCAATTATTATGGGAGTACATACCAAGGGGAAAAACACTGGACTTGAGTTTCGCTCTTATCAGAGCTCATTAGCCCATTGACCATGCCGGCGTTTAAACTCCGGACTCTCGATCTGATACAGTACATTTAAATCAGTCTGATCTGTCCTTGAATATCCAAGGCCAAAGGCCAGTCCATTCGGAACGAAACCAGAGTTTTGACCTGTCCTCTAAGTGTTTGATGACCCAGTGCCGCAAGGTGAACGGACAGCGGTTGCTGACATTCAAAATTTTCAGTTGAGATTTCTTCCGTCAGCAAAGCCGATCTATTTTGAAAAGCCGGGTAGAATTGTACACCTGTTCCATCCCTATGGGGAATCATCGTCACTGCGCATCTTACCAAGCTCAGAGTTTCTAACCAGTGACTTTCCAGACCGTACAAGCAGAGGCGGCTGATCAGCAGTGTGGTTAGCTGTCACTTGGATAAGCTCTTGAGATAATGTCAGGTCTCGTGCCCACCTGTTGATTGGCTTCTCGAGTGGCAATTCCTCAGATGAAAGTTCCACGTATCTTGTGAAGTGATTCTCCCTCTGAGCTACTTTGGAATTTCGCAATGTGCCAACCTGATAGTATGAAGCCCAACTGAGATTTTTTTGTACGCGAAGTGAGTCGGAATTTATCCTACTTTCTCGTAATTTTGAGTAATTCAATTAGTCCCATCTCGCTCCACAACCCCCTTTTGGATATGTGTGCTGAATTCAAATATTTTGCACAAACTCGTCGTCGTGGAAAATAAATCACTTGAATGTGATTCGAATGCTCTCTTTTTTAGTTCGGTACACACAGCAAGCTCTCATGAAAGTATGGGATTCAGTTGGACCAAAAGGCACGACAAGGTAGTACAGTCAGACAGCTCACTCACGTTATCTCAACGTGACTGAATAGTGATCAAGTGGCAGTCGTGAATTAGGAATGAATACCTAAGTACCTACACTAGAAGGGCTCTTACAATTGTTTTATGTTCGGAAGTGGCTAACATATTTAGCTTATCTGTCCCGTGATAGTTGGACGACCCCACTCAGAGCACCCGCATTGTAGGTAGCCACCGAGGGACACACACTTCATCAAATGAAACGAAGTCACCCGGGCTCATGCAACATATACAGGCGGCCGACCGTAGAGTGCAACATTTTCTCTGGGTACCCGATGAGGATCGAATCCGAGCAGTCATCTCACGTACTAATAAAGGACTCTGACATTAAGCCGAAATCATATGACCATCTACTTCCGTATATCAGCGCCAGGATGGTAGACTTAGACGAACCGCCTATCTCGTTGTCCCGACTGTCACTATGGTGATGGCCAGCACGAGACGCGGGGAGTGCGTAACAGTAAATGTTCCCACGTTCACCTTGAACTGTTTAAAACAAGCGTTTTTGTCTGAATGACGTGTTCCGTCGGCATCCATCTCACTACCCATAGCCATCGGACTGACGTTACTACAGTTTAATAAACCATGGCAATGAGTGCAAGACCCATTTGTGAACACAACTTAAAGCCTCAGTAATTGCCCTATTAAGTCAGCTCCTAGTTCTTAAAAAGATCTGAGTTCGCCTGGCCCGGTTTTATACTGTTTGCCTCCCAGTTACAGTTTGGGTTTTGAAATGCTAGTATTGATTTGCTTATTGGCTACCTATGTGAGGCGAAGCGAGGTTTACAAGAGCGTTGGAAACACCATCATCCCGCACAGGGGGCCATTTTCTTTTATTACTATTCGACCTTTCTGCCCGGTTTTATCCTATTTACTAATGTCGAAATCAGAGGTCAGCTGAAACATAAAAATCGGCACAATTACATCACAATATTTAATACGATCATTGTCAGAAACCCCGTAGTCAGTCCTATTCCAATACACCTCTCATAGATCCATGCCCAACTATTTCGCTTACAAACAACAGTACCCTATAATTTATTCAAAACTCTTTGACTGCCGGGGATTCAATGTAGACAGAGTTAATTAGGCAACATATATGATTGTTCCGATTATCGTTTTGGAAGCTGGACTTGTCTTAAGACAATTTACCGTTAAGAGGAGGACAAGCGGCAATGCTTTAAGGATGACAAGACGGAGTACGCATCCAGTGCGGAATTCGTTGAGGTTAGGCATGTATGCTTAGCGTCACCGCTTTGCCCAGCAGGTATGCAAGTACAATCGCGGTTGTTTTGAGTACAGACTGGTGAGATATCGATCAGCATTTGGTTTCACAATCGCGTCATCGCTTGATCCAGTGAGTATGACCCTTCTTGTTTTGTTAAGATAACGGCCATCTGGTACACGTTCCCAGTTCATGAACACCGTTTGAGCACTATTCAACCGCATTGGGATAACCCAGGTCTACCAGTCCGATTTTCCTTTCATGTCTTAGTTTTCGGCCCAGCTGTCTTCTCTACATTTATGCGAATGTCATGTGCGTGTCGCGCTCGGAAAGAGAACCTATGAAAGTCATCCTAGTAATTTGTTTTACACGTGTAATAACGCTGCAACCGACTTTTCTGCTCGCAAAGCGATTAATTTTGCTCTTGCACTGTTTATCCTGGCTCTTGTCATCCCAAGTCCTGATTGGTCGGCGACCACTTGATGTTGGAGTTCGGCACCCTGCTCCCGTCTGTTGATTGGCGCCCTTGGAAGCCCTGTGACTGACATCTCTTGGTTCTTCACTGCGGCCATTGTGGTCCAAAGAGGTTTCTGTTTTTTTTCAGTTATTACATGTAGATGATCAATATTTCCATCGGAATACTCCAAGAAAACGGGTTGACGGATTGGCAAACCAACACCCGGGAAGTGTCTTATTATAAAGAGAGAAGCCAACGGCACTGTCGAACAGTGCTTTCTACTTTACGGCCGAGTTACGGATGAGTTGGCTGTGGACGTTAAACTTGAAACAGAAGGCATGTAGTACGACAGTCCGTCGAGTGGACTGCAGAGCGGTGCTAGTATGATCGAGCAACCGTCCTGACATTAGTTAAGTAACTTCCGCAGGCTATCAACGAATTACTTCTGGGAATTCTCCGACGCAAGGTGCCGTGACGCCCGGCAATATATAGGGGGATCATAGCGAATAGGGAAAAATTTTGCGTGCATGTCCAGAGGTGCAGTTTTTATAATTCGGAGAAAAACGAATCGCTGTTACTAGCGCAAAACCTATCCCAAAGATTTATTAAAGGAAATGAGGGTTAAGAGTCCTAGCACTTACTTTTGGGTTTCCGTAGACGACTTCTTGATCAAGGCTCTGCAAAAAAGCGTAAGATTTAAACAGGATTTATTAAGTGGCTGACGTTTGATAACAGGAACCCCCGAGATGTAAAAAAATATCACTTCAGGGATAAAATTGTCCCACTTGAAGATTTCACATCAGAAAATTCAGAACCCTAATATGGTAGAATAGGAACAAATGTGAGACTGCTGGATAATGAGTAGGTCTTGAAATCCGTAGGGGTGCACAAAGCTAGTCATTCATACGATTCCGCGTGACCTTCTGATTTGTTATGTGCGTCTGCTGGTTAGAATATTGGATAGCATACGTTCACCCACTAAGCTCAACTTGTTCTCTAGTAAGTTGCTGGATTTTAAAATCAATATACGGGTTTACGGTCCCAGTTAACGTGTCGATAAGACAGACTGCTATGATCACTAGGAGGCTATACAATATGGGCTGAATTGCTGTTTTATACCGCTAATAGTGCACAATGGTCTTTGCCCCTAAGATTCATTAATTTGGAAAATGGCTACGTACATTCCTGCATTTGGTATCTGCAGCGTATTCGATGAGGTTTGGAATATCACTTCAGTATTGTCGCAGTCTCAGCGCACACTTTTCAGATATCAGTACAGACAATGTATCCAAATATTCGTAGCTTGTGTAGCTTTATTCTCTGTTAATCGGGCGGCAGTTTATCTGTTTATCTGTTTGTCGAGTTGGGAATCGGCCTGCAAACGTCCCATCACCATGCGAGCAGAAATGTCTCCTGGCATGGAAACGAAACGGTTGCCAATCAGTTGTCAGGCTTGGTAAACAAACCAACTACCATCTGATCGCCAATCAAAAAGCAACACTAATTAATATTTAATAGATTCTTCTCATTTGAGAAATCGGAAAACGTCTTCCTACGACTCATGAACAATGACCGTCCCGTTGAACCAAAAGTACATTCAATAACTGCAAGCGGCACACAAGTTTAAGAAGAGAAATTTCCTCACCAAATTTCGGTCCACAATAAATATTTCTATGTGTTTGATGCGCATCCAAACGTCTCTCTACCATAGGACGAATGAATAAAATTTTTGCCTGTTTAGGTGGCTCCTAAGGCACATTGTGACAGTGGCACTGAAGATCGAATGAGTAAGGACAGGCTGCTCTAACTGGTTCAACCCCTGATGAAGATGGTGACCAGGGAATACCGCACTGTGATTGGACGAAAGTTGATGGCGTGAAAATTTGGCTCAAGGTCAAAATATCCGTTAGGGAAACTGTGGAAGATGATGGACGTTTAGAAATGGGCGGAAAATATGAAGTGATTTTCAAACCAAAACCAATACTGGCATGATTTCTCAGACTCTTTCGCCGGGATTATGATCAGGACTACGAATTGGCAGATCCAGTAACTGAATACCGTGGTTAGCAAACCACAGTTTTTTGAAACCGGTAAAATGTTGAAGAGTTATATGGAGTCGTTATTCGTTTTTATATACCCCCTTCCCATCAACCAATGAGTATTAGACTTTTCCGCAAGCAGAAGCCTTCCGGATTATCAAAAATCCACTACAAGGATCTCTGACACTGAATATACTTCTTTCTTCCCTGAGGTTATTGCATCTGAATGCTGAGGCGCCTTCACCTTCATGCTTCCACATTCATTAATCTGTTTTCATGTAGGATTCTTTGAAACAGGGAGCCTTTATCTTCGTTCAGTCTAAAGATAGGACTCACTGAAGTAGGTGTTGACCTTGCATGACGATTATTTTGTTAACTACGACACATTCGATTTAAATGCGGCGTTTACTTTTTCAGAACGCATTTTCCCCGGTTCCCCAAAATACTTCAAAGTAGCATTCAGACGAAGCAACTGGTTACCTGGAACTTCCTATCTATTCAGTTTGCATACGTTTCGTTTGCTTTCATTCATGGGCTATTCTTTTGCTTACAGCTCCGACAGCTTCTTTTTCGGCGACCTGATCCGTTAGAGAACAAGGAAACATCTTCAGAACTGAAACCGTTTATCGTCATTTATGAAAGGACGTGGTTCTCGAAAGATTGCCCTTGGACCACGACAACGTTTTAAATTGTATTAGAATCTTACGAGTGGTGCATCTAATCTCGACCGCTCATTAGTGTATGGTTACCGGCTGGGGCCAGTGAGTTTTTGGCGTCGAGCACAACAGTTGTCCATACTATCATATGAAACTCAGCAGTGTGCTGCTAATCCACCCTTAAAAGATTCGTTTTTTTCTACATTTTTTCATACTGATTAGTGCACCGCACCGACTAGTTAGGTCACGTGACGAATAGTTACCCATACGGGCATATTGATTTTACGCCTCATGTTAGTCCTGCCTATTGTGCACTGATTGGCTTTGGAAAATCGGGACCCCTTGTTTATAAGTTTATTGTAAAGCAAATATTTTTGTTAAGCTAATGGACTGATTCGAAAAGATGACTGGAGTGTAGAATGCAGAATTATTTCCATGGTAGACTGCAGATTAACCCACGATTTGGATCGTTTGTGGAAGCCATTGTCAGACTAGCTTAAGATATGTTATTGAGTAGAAAGTTGCTAGCTGTCAGACTAGCTTAAGATATGTTATTGAGGAGAACGTTCCTAGCTCAGGTGGCGAGACGGTCGTTGGTCTGTTCTCTGGGCTGGCCAATCTGCAAAAGCTTCATCGTCAATCGAGATGACAAAGTCGGTCCAGGTAGCGTAGACAGTCGTTGGTTTGTTCACTGGGCTGGCCAATCGGCAAAACCTTCATCACCAATCCAGATGACATCATCGGTGCGTAGTAAGGAAACGAAGTGGAGCTTAGCGGTACGCCAGTGTCTGGTCCATTCGTTTTTGGTTAAAACGAGATGTGATACTAAGTAAAAAAGGATTTTCGATCCAGATTCATTTAGCTCTGTCATCGGGCCCACAAAATGGAAATTTAGCGAAGAATTCTCGGTAGCTCATGTGGCGTATATTGTCCCCCCCAACGCTGCTCTCCACTCCCCTCCTTATCAGCGTATTGATGATGTCACCTCGACTGGTGATGAAATGTTCGTAATCAAATTTTCCAGTCAAGCGAAGGAACCAAAGACGATATACCTTAGGATATTGAATGCAGAACTGTACAAACTTAAATATCAGTAAGCCATATACGCAAAGATTCAAATATATCACAAAGCCATCAGGTTATTTTCAAGTTGATTTTGCATATTCTACGTAAGATATATTGTATGTTATATGTATATATTATGTACTATATATCATGTTGCACTCACCAGTGAGAGGCGCTTCCACTGATTTCTCAAAATATTTGTCTTCATAAACATGCCCATTGGTCTGATAACATGCGGTGGAAGTTCCGTCCCGTTTAGGTAGCTTGCCATAAAGGTACCCATGCCTAAGTTTGCACCACGTATCTCCAGTTCTGTTATGCTGTCCACTATGATAACCTGAAGCGAAAAGTATGTATTTTGGTTAGCTCTGTCACCGCCTATTCTGTTGGATTTTTGATTATGGTAGAAAGCTTTCTGCGAGCGCTTTTCCAGGTTACATTGTGATTCGTTTCAAATAGTACGCGTATAGGTCATCAGAGTATATTATTTATTATTTTTTATTATTGTTTATTTAAAATTTAAACGATCAATCAGCTGTCGCTCTTAGTTCAATATAACTTACACACTCAACTAGCGACTCAGCAGTTCGATTTCGTTGTTTAAAGTGTGCTTTGGCTGGTAGCTTGTAGTTCTCAACGGTCACTGTAAGTTCTATTCGATCAACCGCACACCACTTCGGGTTCCTGACTGTAGAGAAGATAAGCCTGAAGCTGTCATAGTTTGGTTGACTTTGTCGATCACAAAACTGAAATCAGTGGCTAGCATTTCAGATTCAATTCGCTCAAAAGTTTTTCAGTCAGGGTTGGTCCCAACTGAAAGTTAAACTTCACTTGGATCAAAGTTTGTTTGGCAAATCAGCTTGTTTTAGGTGGCCCCAGGATCTGCAAAATTCATGTTCACATCATTGTCGTTTGAACAAGCTTCCTGCTGTTCTGGCATCATCATCATCCTAATCAAAGACAGCAACATCTGGTACTACTTTAGGTGGCCCCAGGATCTGCAAAATTCATGTTCACATCATTGTCGTTTGAACAAGCTTCCTGCTGTTCTGGCATCATCATCATCCTAATCAAAGACAGCAACATCAACGTTGGTACTACTGCTCCCAGCTTCTCTGGTTGCTGGTGCCCGTTGTGAACTCATCAGAATAGTTGCATCAGGATAGGGGGAATGAGAAGGTAGAATCGAACTGTCTATATTGTGTTTTCATTAGAATAAGACATCCTTGTATGGTGTTGCAAAGGGCAAAAGGTGTTTATCACAACCAGTTCGCTCCTATTCGAGGGAACTTAAAGTGATTCCAATGGAGCCTCACTGAGAATCTACAAGAATTTTAAACTGATCACTTGGCTCAAAAAACCCCAAAAACGGTAGACAGGCAGAAAAAGAATATGAGACCGCATCGTGGTGCTGTGTAGTCGTGGAACATGTATGTGGATAATGTTTTTCCCGGATAGTTTATCACTTTGGGCTACTCTGATCAGGCTATGTCACTCTCCATATACTGACGCCTGCTATTTCTGCTGGACAGTGCCATATTTAGACGAGACCTCAAGACGGCTCATATTTCTCAGATTACCGAAAGCTAACTGCCCTTTTTCCTACTGCATGTGTTTGGCTACTCTTTAGTCCTGGTGTTCATGGAGTTGAGACGCCGTGCAACCTTTGTGCAAGTTTGTAAACGTCTGCAACAAACGAAACTGGGAGCCAATCACACTGGCCACTCAAGGTCGAAGGGTTAAGCGTTCAACCACTGACTGGTAGGTCATTGGTTTGAAACCCTCCGACTTCCACGAGGAACGCACCGCTGATGACTCCCGGTGAGGACGAATCGGCCGTATACTGTTCTCAGCTTTTCAATATAGATTAGCCTCAGTGACAAGACGAAATCTTTACATAAAAATACCTTCTAAAAGCTCTTGTTTGTCCGGCTAGGTTATGCAGAAACGCCGATTCCACCTACTCGGCCAGTGATATTTGAGGTAACAACTCTAAAACTATTGTGCCTTGCATTCCCAGGTTTTATGGATTGACAGGTTGTTGTAATATCTGAGTGTAACTTAGTCCATGTGAGAGAGGGGCTTGAAGGTGATCCCTCTTGGGGAGGTTATTCTGATGTGTAGTAGCTCATATGTTTGGTGTGGATTTTGCCGGCCGCCACAGAAGAATAATCGGCTTAAACTGACATGTACAGAATGAAACAGACTTTTCCATTTACCGGAAGCAATTTTCGCTGTCCCGGTGTGTCAAAAAATGTGGATACTTTTGGTCGGATGGCACCAGTATCGATCCGTTTGAAACGCAAACGTTGTCTCCTGTTCGCGGCTTGGTGCAACCTTCCAGTGGACTTCTTACGCTGAAAAGAAGTAGGTGAACAGATTTGATAGAATTTTCCAGAAACGAGACTAATTTTGTGGCCTGATTTCTGTCAATCATTATGCGCACTTGAATGACAATTTGAAGAAATTTTGCAACAGACACGTATCTCTGCAAACTACGTTGGCACTGGCTGGAGACTCACAAGGAGCCCTCATTCGTATGATTTTCTAGGTGCATTTGCTGCAAACCGACCTCCTCATGCTACAGTTGGAAATATGTCAAAGGTACTGCCGTTTATTCTCTTTACTTTACTTTACTCTTAAGGGTAATGGGAAATCTTGTCACTTCACTATTGGTTCCGCCCTTGTTGGTATTCATCAAACAGCGCTAGTTTCCTGATTTTCGTTAGTAGTACTTTGTGCCTTTGTACATACGCATTTTTAACTTTACTGAATGCTAACCGGAGGCTCATCTGAATATACTGTTAATGATATTATTCCAGTGAAGCTGCTCGACAAATGTCGCCTCGTTTTTTGAGCACATTTTTGAGCAACCAGTTTAGTTGAAGCGTATTGCGGATGATAGATTCGGTTTGACTTCATTTGAGCTTCTCGTTACAGCCATTCTGATTTGCAAACAAGGATTTGCCTGCACACCGATGAACATTTTCAGAATATCATTTTTCAGTGGAAGGGTGCTAAGGGTTTCTGAGATAAAACGAGACACCAGCCACAATGAAAACGTTATTACTAGATATTTCATCCTGTCAGGGAAGCCATTGTATACTTAGAAGCCAAGAAGCACTGTAGATCTGTTTTATCTCTGTTTGGAATCACCAATAGTATGCATTTCACTAAACTCAAATAATTTTGAACCCCCGATGCTCCAGCCAATGGTTGAACACAACCGTTTACCACGACTGGCTGATCAGCTGTGTGATTAGCTCTCGCTTAGACGGAATATAGCACCACTCATTATACACGGAAACCACAACACGTGATCACGTATTGATTAGCTTCCCGACGAAAGTTTCATTCATCTTGTGGAGTCATTACTCTTCCGAGCTGATTTTGGATTTTTGGTAATATGAGGAGATTTGCTAATACGAGTACTACAACCCGCCAGGGGACTTTTCTTGGTCCGAGAACTTTACCTAAAAACGTTCCTTCTCTAAGCTGCGAGATATTGTGGACAAAACAATTCATCTTACCGCGACAACTTGCAAAGAGGCACACTCTAAAGATGGAAGCATTTTTGTACATTGGTAGACTCTGCAGTTTCCAACAACTAAGATGGATGGATATTTTGCAGATAGACGAAAACGAAGTAGGTAACACAGACGCCTAAGGTTAAGATCACAGAACACCCAACTAACCTAATCGCTATCGAGTCACGAAACTTTGGAGCGGTTAATATTTTGCGAATGAAAACATGAAACAAGTTACTGAGCAAGCGTACGGATTTGGATTGTCTTCCAAAGTTAGTCCGACAAACCCCAATTTTAACCTCAAAATTAATTGAAAACTCTTTTATGTTACTACTCGTTCAACAGTTTGATGGTATGTTACTACTCGTCCAACAGTTTGATGTGAAGAAAATCAAAAGAAATTTTCTTGATCAGGTTTTTTGCCCAGTTACAAGATATCTGTAAGAGACCGGTTGTTTTAGGAGCTCAAAAGATAAGTCTATTAGAGGTTTGCTTTGACACTGTCTAGGAATCCATGATCCTAAATATGGAACACATACAATCAACTACTCACAGTTTTTCACTAGTATAAAAATAAAACACTAAGTATACTCGACTGACGGTCTCTATAATTTTCGTGCTTTGCTACCTAGGCAATTACACAGCAATCTCACCGCAAAAATTCATTTTACTCACAAACTCACCCGGAGGAATTTTCTCCTCTCCAGTGTGTTGATAAATGAGCGCAATTTCCGGGAAACTGTGCCAGCTTTTCTAGTACTTCCTGTTTTCTCCGCCAGCATTTTTGCCAACTCCAAGAAAGATTAGAAGCAAGATGTTTACTCACCAGTATTGTGACATACATTGCAGTTCGGTGTAATTTTTCACTTCCAGCTCGAATCTGGCTAGTGATTTCGGTTGTTAAATTTAAATCAAAGTACTGAACACTTCAGCATGCAACTAGAAACGCTGGTTAGGCCCAAATTCCATTTTTCAGAACTCAACGACCACACGTTTGCGAACAGCTAGTGAGAGCGGCAAACAGAAAGCTCTGGTTATAGTACAAGCTTTCGGGCAAATTAGTCATCCCGCTCAAAAATGAACGTGTTCATTTGTTCAAACGTGGCGATTCAGGTGCTTACAGGGCGCGCAGATGCAACCGTGGTACCACGCTTGCATTACATTACAGATGTTCGGAGTTCGAACCCGGGAACGACCCGGATATGCACGAATCTGGCTAGTGATTTCGGTTGTTAAATTTAAATCAAAGTACTGAACACTTCAGCATGCAACTAGAAACGCTGGTTAGGCCCAAATTCCATTTTTCAGAACTCAACGACCACACGTTTGCGAACAGCTAGTGAGAGCGGCAAACAGAAAGCTCTGGTTATAGTACAAGCTTTCGGGCAAATTAGTCATCCCGCTCAAAAATGAACGTGTTCATTTGTTCAAACGTGGCGATTCAGGTGCTTACAGGGCGCGCAGATGCAACCGTGGTACCACGCTTGCATTACATTACAGATGTTCGGAGTTCGAACCCGGGAACGACCCAGGATATGCACTGAAAATGAGCTCATTACTGTGGGCTCAACAAAGTAACTGGACAGGGATAAGGGGGGAATTTTAGATCAGATCAGATCAAACAATACCTAGCATGTCGGCTTACGTTTGAGGAGACTTGTCAGGCTCTCTGCAGTATCTTCTTTTTCCATGCTGATTGTGGAGACAGAACACTATCGAACAAATGACTATATAGACAAATAGTCGAAAATGTCGACAGGCAAACAAGCATCTATAAAAAAAGTAGCTAAACGAATTCGAGAAGCGGTCAGATGCTATTGATGCATGGTGTTCAGTGTTAATTATATCCTGTTTGCTGCTTCTGGACGCCCATAGACAGAGTAGTTGGTCAGACTCCGAAATGACCATTGTCTGATTCGGATCTTTAGTGGCCCTGAATGGTTTCCACGCAGTGGACATATTGTTCGAAATGTGGTGGAAATTGAATGGACAATCTGATCAAACAGTGCCATCCACAGATATCTTAACTCTTCTACAGAATCACTTAGGAAAATGCCTTTTACGCGTCTGGATTGATCCCGGGTTGTGCAGACTATGGAACCTTAATTTCAGGGGCGAAAGAATGAGTAAACCAAAGGGACTGCAGCTCCGGACAGTTGCTCCTATGCTGCAAGCGTAAATCTGGTTGGACGTTGAGGCGTAGATGAAGCTTGAAAACTCTCTGGAAGAAAATGTTGGTAGCTCAGTTAGGGTAGATGTTCGTTCGCTGTTTGTTCGCTAAGCTGGGCAATTTGATTGCAAATGTTTCATCACCAATCGAGGTGACATCATCAGTACGTTGCTGGGGAGAGTAGTGGTGCGTAGCGGTGGGTTAGTGGTTGTGTACAACGATGGAACTCATTCAGAGGACATCGCATCTGAGAACAAAGTTACTGGATGGTTGAACCCACCTCTCTGTTGCCAGAAACACTATGACCAGGTACCATAAACAGCTTGATCCGAATTTCCACCAAAAGAGCCCCATACTGTTTCTGTTAACTGAGTCAGGTTTTATATGATTTCGGCGCACTTTACTTTCAACAACTTCCTTCGCTTGACGGTGAATCCTGTTATCTGTGTGGGCATTTTGGTTTACCTCACCTTTTTCAGTCGACAACCGGGTGACTGTCCTATATCTGATTCCACGGTACATTTGTATCTGTCTGTATCCGAATCGGAAGGAACGTTTCACTTGATATAAAGTATACCAAGTAAATTTTGTAAGGTCTTTTTCAGTGCAGACTGACTACTACATTACGTAATCTCACATCTTGACAAATGGGCATCCTCTATTGAGCCGCACGTATGGTCCATCTACCTGCCGTCACTGGGGTATACTGATCGGTCCTCTCTATAAACACCTAAGGAGGAATGGCATCATATATGTGTAGTTTTCGGAATCTGACTACATCTTGGCCATAAGGTAGCCGATCAAATTTCAAGCCCTTAGCTTGCTAGTCCTCTGGTAATGCGTGACGAGCCATCACTACTTAGACGAACAGCCAACTACTCATCAGTAGTCATGTTGTTGCTGCAGTCAATTGCTGCTGACTTTATGCGTGCATGTTTGTCAGAGTTGTGCTTCGCTCATTTATCCCTTGACAGGCTTCCTATGGTGGGCTTTCTCACTGAGCCCAATAAAAATTAGCAGGCGCTTGAAAACAGACACTGAATCATGAACATGTTTGCCCGTTCAGATGTGACAATTCAAGTGTGTTCAGCGAGCGCTGGTGGAATACTGGTAAAACTACTACTTCGCATCTCAAATATCCGGAGTTCGGATCCCGGCGCTGCTCGGGCTCTGATAAGAGCTCCAGAATTACTCCTGTTAAATGTGGAATCACCAGAATAATTACGCAGGGGAAGGTTGAGGACTGTTCAAGCGTGATGTGAATATCGCCTCCGCAAATTCCGCAATTGCCTACGGCTACTTTTCGGAGGAGTGGATCACTTTGCAAATCTCTGATCAGTTGACAATCAAGGTTCGGTATGCAAATGGTACTAGCAAATACCAGCATCGGATTTGTAGGTAATTCCAGATAATACGATCGTCGGCTATAGGTTGACGGATAAAAATAACTCTGAATCATTTTCAACTGATTTTGCTGCATTTCATGCAAACTTCCTGGACGACTCAGGTAGAGAGACGGATTGCCAGTGCCATACAGAACTCTGACTTACTAGTTGTCTTCAATTAGTGCATGTACCAGAGTGGCCACATTATCGCGTTTGGTCAAAATAGACTTCGGAACACAAACTTCACCGAAATTACTGTACGAATCTCTTGAAAATCCCACATCATTTCCTACTGTTCACTTACGCATAAACTACAGAATCTAGTGTACTTAGATCCCACTGCTTGGCCTTGGTACTGACATGTGGAGAGTACATCGCACAACGGCAAGCTGTGGCCTCACTTGATCCCAGTCTATTTCTGGTGGAGTTGGTGTGAGTGGCCCTAGGTTGATTTTTAGTGCGGTAGCCTGGCGGACCATACCTATGATATCCGAACCATTCTTAGGGTGCAAAGCTACCCGCAAAATCCCATTCAGAAAATACTGTTTGTTTTACACTCAAGTGACTCACCCATTGTTTCACAGTGAACGAAACAATATTCCTGACTCTGTCGATCTCCAAAGTCCCAGACTCTCCCTGATCTCCTTTATTTCCCTAAAACGAAAAGCATTAACTGCTGGCTACTAACAGGAGTGGAAGTAGCGTAATATGGCAGATGAATTTAGTTGAGCACTTTGCGGGACTCGATCGTTACCATAAAGTGTCCAATAAATTGAGTACTGGGTTTTTCGGTCAAGTCGAACACACCTAATTTTAGGGTAATATACTGTCGGACTCACATACTACCATTCAAATAAGGCGAAAACCGTCTTACACCAGTTTGTGTACTTTAATATCATTTTTTCCATAAATTATACATAGTATGGTAGGGTAAGGAAAGCCAGAACAACCAGCATGTTCATCTGAGCTAACAGACATCACGCCATCCTGACGGGCTGAGTTGTTATGCAACAAGAGAAGCTGAATGAAGCGCACGGTAGTTTTCAAACCCATTAGGCCACAAAGTAAGGGACCCAGACGATTTGACCCCCAATGATGGTCTATCGACCACGCTGCAGAAAACCTGATTGAGTTGTGCAAACTACTGTGGCAAACCCGCATTGTTCAGCTACGATTTCGTCATGTCAGTGAAGTCAGTCTGTGTCGGGAAGCCGAAAAGCACTGTATGGCTGTTTCGTCCTTATTCGAATTCTTCAGTAGGGCTCACCTCGTGAAGCGTAGTTTCTAATCCGCAACCTTCCGATCCGTGGTTGATCAATTAACCTTTCGGCCACGAACTGTTGAACAGTAGCGTGAGTATGTCGAAATATAGGTAGCTCGGGTGCATTTACTGGTGGCTGATCGGATGGCAGTTGATCTGGCCGCCGAACTTGGCGAACTCAACTGCGCACTGACGATGTCTCCTCGACTGGAGACGAAACGTCTGCAAGCCAGTTGCCAAGCTCGGCGAACAGATCAACTGCCATCCGATCAGCCACCAGTAGCGTGCGTAATTCTCACATCATCGATCAATCACAGAAGCTACATCACGTGGTCACTACACACTCATTCCGTGAAATGTGACCAAGACTTTATTACTGGAAATCGGTGAAATAAGAGCAAACCAACTGTCCTTGTCTGGTCGATAAGACTGAAATTAGTGTAGCTCCTAAACACAGTAAGATATGCAGACAGACTTATCTGAATATGCAGGTACTAAAGGAACCCGTGTGAACTTGGTGCAAGTTTTTTGCAGAACTTTCTAAACTACTGAATCAGTGCCGGACTAGTTCGGCAGTTTGCTTTATATATGGGGTGAGAATTTCCTGCCTTCCTCTTGCTTCCCAAACGAACAAACATGGGCCCAAAATTGCGTCATTGGGCTAATGCAACGGAATCGATTGGAGTGTATATTGCAAGCGACAACGAATTCGCAAGTTTCGTTAAGAACTGACTGATATGGTGTTAAACTTGGGCACCTCGAATATCGCCCTCTTAGATGTATTCACGCTTTGGAATATCTCATCTTTCATAATGTTCTTCATTCGGTGGCCGCCACAAGGAAAACGCTTAAGCGTTCCTAACTCGTTGGGCGGCATATCATATGTAGGCTGCTCGTTCACACGATACTGTATGGTTTCAAGTCTTGCTGAATTGAACAAAGTTTGGGCCTAAGCCGAGAATCGACAGTAAACAAAGTGTGATGTGAAGTGTAATGGGTACAAAGGTCGGGGGTGGTACGTAGAGGCCAGGAACAGTCAGCAATTGTCAAAGGAATCGAGAAGTCATCTCTCTGCGCCGGCAAAATGTTATTGTTCAAGTAGCCAACTAATAAAAAAATTCAGCCTCTTGATCTTTTTTTTGAGAAAATATGTTGCATCAGAGAGGATGCTGATAATGAGCTTTGCTTGGAAGTGGATAGATAATCTTTCGGAAAGTATGACTTTTAAAGCTAATCTCACTAGATGGAGTGGAGTGGAATGATATTGATTGGTGGTGGTTCCTTTTTGAATGGAGCTTATTCAAGGGAGCCGCTGTAATGTATGACGATGGTAGTTTCTTTGATGAGCCCATATTCTAGGGTGATCTTGGTCGGCTGAGTTTTCTTAGGCATTCACGACCCCGGAAGCCGGGATATCCGATCCAGATTCTTCAGTTCCATTCTGTTGCCCAAAATTAGCTGTCTGTCAAAATTACAATGACAGTGTCATACACAGAAAAATAGCTTTCCAAACTTACTTGACCTCCTGGGGGACCACGCAATGATACGGAACATGGTTCACATCCACCTGCAGGTCCAGGAGGGCCCTGATGAACGTAAGAAAAATCACAAGGTTAAATCGCCAAGACAATAGATGGTGCGAACTAATATCGAGTGAACTTACCGGTTCATAAATAACCATTGGGCTAGAGCACAGTGGAATGGGACAATGGCCTTGAATGCCTTGCGGTCCTCGTAATCCCTGAAACGTTTGATGTCAGCTGAGTGAATTCATCTCTACAAAAATATCTCCGAAGTTCATCATCAGAAAACGAAAAAAAACAACGGTTTGTTCGAAGAAGCTTGAGACCGATTAAAAGTTGATCTTGATGAGCATTCCCCAAAAACTGCTGAAAAAAGAAACGCTTCGTTTTATGAGAAAAAAGTGCGAAAACAAGCTTTGCAGAAGACTTACAGGCAATCCAACATCTCCTTTGGGTCCCTAGATCAATTGAATTCGATACAGTTCAAATTAGACTGAAGCAACTTACCATCAAGGCTTGCACAATTTCACAACCGAGCTAAAAGAGTCATTTCAGTGCCATAGTTGGAAAAGGCTTACCACTTCCTTCAAACATGAACTGTTTAGCTGGGAGACCTAAACGAAAAAGTGCAAAAATTTGATTTTTCAGATGGAAGAATCAAATAGATGAGTAGCTCTTGTGTTATAAACAGAAAATCAAATGGGGTAAGGCATTTTGGCCTTGAAGTGTACTCACACCTTAGGCCCCTTTGTTCATAGTTGTCTGGAGCGCCTGTTACGTTGTGCTTACACCACTTTTGCATGCAAGTCTGGGTTTTTATTCAAACAATTGAGACAGTAAACTGACTACTAGTGAGTAGTCAGGGTGTAGCGGCTGTTAGAATGTTTATCTGTTTCCCGGATTTGTCAATTCGCTTGCAAACTGGGAGAAGATATTGATGGGCACATGGATACGGTAGAGTGGTTTGTGCTCCTTGATCTTTCCGTTTTGTTGTCTAGTTTCTCATACACCTGTTTCCATTAGTGTGTATGGTTCATGAAGCGGACGCTTCTGTACATTTAACTTGTATTTTGAGCAAAATGCTGCAAACATATTCACCAGCTGCGTACCGAAACCCTTTGTAAAATTCTATGACAAAAATCAAGCCCATCTATGGTGATGTGACCCAATGTCGTTTCACTGCGGCCGATCAGTCATTGGGACCAAACGACGGAGCCTGGTTGGATAATCTTTGACGAAGCATGACCAAACGCCATAAGAGGAAAATTGCCAAACAGACTAGCACCTTGCTTTTTAAGGGAGGCTATTGACAGTGAAAGTTCAAAAATGAAAAAAAATATGCGCAAAAATTCTAGAGCTGAGCAGTATTACATTTCAAACACAAAGTTCTGGGGATTGTACTTCAGGTTAGATATTTGTGTTCTAAGAAGCTTGATATGTTTCACAAAAGAACTAATGCACTATCACCTGCACGAAGATCCTCAGAAAAACCATGTTCTCACCTTTGGAATGTGAACAGGCTGATCTGCGGTTACCGATTCTGCTGATCCACTAGGAGCAGATATTCGTTTCTTGGGTTGCCCATCAACAGACTGAGATCTTCCATTCTTCCCGTCAAACGATGACATCCCCTATATGGAACGGAATGCATTGGTAGGGGTTGTTTAGACATAGGGCTACATCGGGATTTCTCATTTGTCGAAAGCCATTTCAACTGACAAAGATTTCAGTAAGAAAAAACCCTGGCTGCTTCGATGTTTAAATGAACGCATTTCATGGAGGCTGATTTTAAGTAGGGGAACACTGTACCTATGATGTTAGGTCTATCCGTGTTCAGCAAGCACCGAATGGTCCTAGTACCAGAATCAGAGAGCTTCCCCTAACCAGTAGTGGAAATCTGTAGCATAAGTGCCTGACGCCATAACCGCTTGAAATCCACTGGATAACCCTATTCTGATACCGAATCTACTGTATTTCAAGTCTAGTCGATAAGGGAATATGTGGCACAACAAAAAATCACTAGCTACTGAAGAACTCGCTTGTTCTTGATAACGTTTTTTGAAAGTAACAGTAAAATTTCTGACAGTTGCACACTGTACAACGTTTCTTTCTGCATGCTGTGGTTGTCTTGAACTGAACAGTTCTTCTGTGAATTTCTAGGAACCCGTTCTTGCCTAACAGAGCTAACTGAATCGGTGATCTACTTTAAATACTTTGACAGTCCCAGTTTCACCGTATAAGCTATGTACGATCAATCATATTTTTGATGTTCTCGTAATAATCTGCCAGGTGGATGAATCCAGTCTCCTCGCGTTCGTCTCTGAAACAAACTCTTCGAAACATGTTTTTTTATTCTCACGCAACAAATCCACATTGTCGAGAAACGCGGAACACTAGGTTGAAGTGCATGCAGATGTACTTTATGGTTGTCCTGTATGTACTCTGAATCAATCGGTTGCAATTTTGCTATCACCAAAGGATTCATGTCTCTTTAGTCCCTTGTTCTGAGCACTCTGAACAATCCGGAAAGTAAAGGGATAGTGACGGAGGAAATTTTCCCGTTGACTTCTACTATCCAAATTGTGGGAGAACAAAAATGAAGTTGACGGAGTAGTGTAAAAGTCTAGATCACAAATCTTGAGTTTGTTAACTAATTCCTGGACAATGTGTTTATTTTTACTGCAATGCATGAAAAGGGTTGTTTTCTGAACGGTGGAATCCGCATACAGAATACATAGCAATGAGATTCCGTTTCTGGAATTTCGAGCAGGACTTTATGACCAATAATTGCGTCCTGTGCAAACTGTCAAAGGTGCNATATATATATATAGCTATCGGTGATCCTGTATAACACCTTCAGAAAATTATTTATGTGGCATTGAGACGCAGTGTGAGTTGTGGTTCTCATGATCAAGAGAAATAAACCCATTGAAAAGTCACGCAGAATACCACGAGGTTAAAACGAGATGGTACCGACGCATGACCATACGACGTTCCTAAAACTCAACCGTCGAAAGCACTCACTCCTAAAAGTAACTGAATCATATCGTGAGTAATTGCAGTCCAAAGCAATGGAATACAGGGAAGAGGGGAAAATAATGGAGACAATGATATCCCATTCGTTTGCTCGAGAATTATTTAAAATCCCCACAATCTGCCTATTTTCAGAATTATCTAATCGGGGCTATCTATGAGCGTTAGTAAACGGTTGATTGCACTCCGACTTGTTCCACACTTGGGAATTTAAACCTTTTTTTCTAATGTTAAGTTGGCCGGAGATACTGAAAAGAGGCAGGACACAGAGCTATGTGGATCGAGTTTGGTCAGATAACGGGCTTATCGCATACAGTGTAAAGTTACTCAGAGAATGCTTCTTGATGAAGCAGGCAGCTTATACAAGAACGGTCCACCGGTAGAGAGGTCAGGATGAATGCGTTATACATCAGAACCATGAATGTCAGGATTGGTGGACAGTCTGAACAATTCCGACGGGCTGGGATGCCTTGAGGAAAAAGATGGGTGCTTCCCAAGCAAGTCCTAGAAGACCTACCATTAATTATCATTTTCAGCCAAGGAACATAAAAAGAGATGTTTTTCGAGGTGGTGAATCTTACTTTACCTTATGATAATTCCCCCATTCATTTGCTTACTCCGCCTATGTACTTTTGATCTCCAATTGTTTTGCTTATCCGTGCCCGCCACCCACCTTGCCGCAGAGGCCGTCCTGTCCGACACTTGGCATGTGTCTCTGTGTGAATGTGCGCTGCTGACCTACTTACACATGCACATTCATATCCCGTATGCTGAACTTGCCTCAAATGGGGACAGAGGAACCGCCCACACAACTGCATATGGAATATGTTTCTTCTATTGGGGCGAAACCTTTGCATGCTGATCGCCGAGCTCCGTGAACAGATCAACGACCATCTGATCAAACACCAGTACAAACCCGAGCTACTTCGTCAGGTTGACGAAGATATCACCTGATAATGTAGTGTAGACGGGAAGTACTCCATAGCTAGTTGATTCATTTACTCAGCATTAAAATGAAAGAGATGACATCACAACTACACATTACAACTATACATGTATCGCGATATTTCAAATATCGTAGCGACTGAAACATGAGACGGCCTGGTGCAGCACATTCAGTTGCCTGAGAACATCATAAACGAGAGATTCAGCTGGGTTCCAGGTGAGTCTCTCGAAAGAACCAAATTAGTTTGCAGATGAGTGTATATTTGCCTTGACTTGTTTCTTCATGAGTTCTGTGTGATCGCACGGAAGCACCGGACTCGGAGTTTCGCTCTTATTGGAACTCACCAGCAGTGCATATCCAATGGACGCGCAACTCAACCGTGAACACGTTCTCCCATTCAGATGTAAGAATTCAGATGCGTCCAACGTGCACTGGTGGAGTGGTGGTAACACGTTCGCCTCACATGTCATGTCCGGGGTCCAAACCCCAGCACGGCCATTGGATATGCACTGCTGATGAGCTCTAATAAGAGCGAAACTCCTAGTCCGGTGCTTCCCCCCTTTGGTGTGTATTCACCAGAATAATTGCGCCAGAACAGGAGGACATCTGTTCAAACGGGAGTGATGTGAATGTGGACAATACACATGCCGCAAACCCCAAAAAATACATTAGTCACGAGACTGTCGTCGGAAGAGACGACCGCAGCCCACTCTACGGAGCCATCATTCCGCTCGCCGCTGTTTGGTGTTCGGCGTTGACACTTCACTGTGCCGGTCAGTGGATTTGCTGACTCTAGGAACGTGTGCAAATAGAAGCGTAGAATTACAAACACAATTCTTCCTTTTGATATTCGGGATTGTCGAAGCTACGCGTCACTCAAAGTTCCGTATGGGGAACCTCAACACGAGGTTTATCGCTACGTTTCAATGGACTCCTTGAGCAAAGAAAATACCCACTGGTTTGGTTGGTTTGGCTGAAGAAGACCAAACAGTGGATCATTCGCAACAGTGGTGCGGATTGACTCTCCCTGGTTGGGATTACTACATTCCACAGATAAGGTCAGAACTTGACGATGAATCACGAGAGAAAGTAAACAAAATCCTGAACTTTAGATTATCCCTTCTTTTCTCAAACAATTAAGTTGACAGCCAGCTTCAAAGATGGATGATAAATAGTTTGAAAAAAAATTGACGGGAATTTCGTCCTGTAAGTGAAACAAATTATTAATGAAAAGACGAAAAGCGATCTATTGCTGTTGCATCCTTACTGAGAATCATAAGTACTGCGTATCTCGCGAAACTCCGCCGTCCGACCGTCCGACCGCTAGCAGCTGATCAACAGTGTTATTAACTCGTCCTAAGACAGGATATAGCTTCACTTATCTTCTACTCCCGAAATCTACGTCGTGTAATTAGGTGTTGATTGGCTCAGTTTGCTGCCAGTTATTAACAGTAGAGATCAGTAGTACCCAAACTACTTTGCACCGCGCATTGCTTCCAATATATGGCAAAAGTTAATTATTCGGTCCAGCTGTGGTCTTTCCAAGGCGTAATAAACAGAAAATTACGCTCAGGTTTTTCAAACAAAATGACCGGTTGTCCCAGGTGGTTACCAATCTCAGGGGGACTATATTGAATCAGTTACGAAATAGTTTGTGTTATTTCAAAAAAAGAAGTCAATAACTGGGAAGCTCTCCCGCTATAAACGCCTGGTAGGAAGTGAAGAGTTCTGCTTGGGCTTCCACGTTTGAATCAAGACGCCTGGCATCCACACCTAGTCCACCGCGACGTCAACTCAGGATGTCCAAATAAAAGATCAAAATGCCACTGGTACAAAACATAATTACGAATAAGCGAAAAAGAATGCGATGAAATAGAACTGCGGAAAATATTGAAGCACAAGAAGAAAGTAGAGAAAGCGGAAGAAAAATGAAGGAGACAACGGAAAGATAAAAAAGCAGACGCGCGAAAAGTAATCAAAACAAGAAAGAACGCCGGGGACATTACAAAAAAAAACAGAAAGAGATGATACGCGGACTTGAAAACAAAACATACCAGAGAATCGGAAAATCCGAAAGGTTCCAAGCCGGAATCCGCAGTACGAACTAAATCAACATCCAAGGTAAGGGCATCGAGATTGGAAAATGAAGCGCTATCCATTTGAACAGACTCAGGCTACAATAAAGAAAATTTAAAATAAGTAAGCGAGAGGGAGCGAAAATGAGTACAGAAAAATGACCAACTATATAATATAGAAAAACCAAGAATATGAGCGAGCAGGAAAAAATAAAGGAAGGAAAAGGATCTTTTCCAGATAAGCCCCGCCACCAATGAAAAAAGTGCATGTGCGAAAAGTCATGCCCCGCCACCAATGCAAAGCGCATGTGCGAAAAGTCAAGCCCCGCCATATTTTTCCAGCTCGAATTTAATGTACACACACAACCTTGACCTATTTTTGTTGAAAACAATTCCTTATCCGCATCTAGGCTCATTTCGTACAAAAAAATTTTCTCCGTTCGGACGTAAAATCTTAAATGAACTTTTTGGCGCTTTCAACTCTCGTTCATGATAAGGGGACGGCAATAGGTATTTTGCAAAGCAACGGAGTGATCAATCAACAACGTTTATGCAACAATGGCCACCAAACGACACTTTCAACTGTTTCTGACAGGTGAATGTGTAATTCCCGACAATATCGGCAAGAAGTCGGTCTTAGAAAAGGAACTTGGCTGGAGCGGTCTAGGATACAGTTTAGGAGAGCAATTCTATTCATTTGTTGCTGGTCCAAAAATTTGGCAAAAATCAAATTCTTCTCAGAGGAATTATCTATTAGCCACACGACCACTGTTTACTGGAAGAACTTTCTTTACGAAGTTTGCGCCTGGCGGCTTTTTCAGAATTCAACAGTAATAGGTGGCCCAGGTTAACACGTCGAGATCGATGTAACACCAATATGGAGCCGTAAAAAAAGCAGGGAGAGTCCTACTCCAGAAGTGGAGTTTCAGAGGGAACTGCCGCGAAACTGAAGAGGTGTTCGAGTATGCAGTGCTACATCGAAGTGCAGCGCAATCCAGGCCTGCATCGCTTCCGAGTTATTCATCATCTCAAATATGTGAGCATCATATCAAGGAAATCAAACGTTGACTCACATGAAGTATACTCATGAAACGGTTAACTATACCGAAAATCTAGCGGATCCGATGACTAAAGCTCACATATGAATCATCGGACAAATCAGACATATCCAAAACAGAGAGAATAAAAGACAATCCAGCGCATCAAAACCTATACTGGAGAGCTCAATGCCTCATAGCGATTAGGAGCAAGGGTAAACAAAAAGGGACACATTGATTGAATTGTTAGCACAAGAGAAAGAACAATGCACATAAAAAATTCAAAAAGCAAAAAAAGTCAAAATAAAATGGTAATAAAACCGGTGGTATTAGACGGGCGAAAAAAGGCTCGGGTCGTCCGAAAAAATTCGAAAGTGAAAACAATCGGAGATAGAAGGTTAAATGACTGAAAATCCACGAATAACATTTCTAACCCAAATAAATGACAACCAACTCAGACGATATGTCTGGCGCGACTAGTGAAGAGTGACATGTGACAAGTGACCAGTGACCAGTGTGGGCAGTTTCGAATGCAGACCTTATGCTGCAAACAGTAGTCAATCACTGGTGCCGTAGAACACAATGAGGCTCTGTCCAGCTGTTCCATCTAGCCGTCGCACAAACCATGTGATCAGACCACACGAAACACGAGGTCGACCTGGTCCACGCCGCGCGACCCGACACATCCAAGTGGACAAACAAATCAGGTCATCTACGCTCCCCACACCTAACACGCCAGCCTCGCCCACATGTGGATCAGGACCCCTGCTCCAATCCGGTCCAATTCACCTGAGTCCCAACTATTGACCGTCCTCTGCCCAATTCACCTCTCCTCGTCCAGTGTGACAATCACAATCATGAACACAACCGGTGAGCCGCCTTGTCCACACTGTCAAACACACTGAACCGCAAACACAACAGTGCCGATCGCAACGAACGCACACAGACACAGACACAGCCACAAACACAAGCACAAGCACAAGCAAAAACAGAAACACAAACACAAACACAAACACAAACACAAACACAAACACAAACACAAACACAAACACAAACACAAACACAAACACAAACACAAACACAAACACAAACACAAACACAAACACAAACACAAACACAAACACAAACACAAACACAAACACAAACACAAACACAAACACAAACACAAACACAAACACAAACACAAACACAAACACAAACACAAACACAAACACAAACACAAACACAAACACAAACACAAACACAAACACAAACACAAACACAAACACAAACACAAACACAAACACAAACACAAACACAAACACAAACACAAACACAAACACAAACACAAACACAAACACAAACACAAACACAAACACAAACACAAACACAAACACAAACACAAACACAAACACAAACACAAACACAAACACAAACACAAACACAAACACAAACACAAACACAAACACAAACACAAACACAAACACAAACACAAACACAAACACAAACACAAACACAAACACAAACACAAACACAAACACAAACACAAACACAAACACAAACACAAACACAAACACAAACACAAACACAAACACAAACACAAACACAAACACAAACACAAACACAAACACAAACACAAACACAAACACAAACACAAACACGGGCAACGGTACTCGGTCTGCAGGTCTCAACCAACCATCACGGGCACCAGGATCGCATGGTCATCTGAGATGAACGGACACCAGAACACGGTGTTCCTGATCGACTCGACCTCGACAGATTGTCTAACCTGATAGATGCCCTTGTCCAGATAGGCTCAGCATTCCCTCTACCAATCTACACAAATCGCATGCTCGGTCATCGAACCCCGGGTCCACACGGGAGAACGTGAATCGGTGTGTTCACTTCATCCGAAACGAAACGAAACAAAACGAAACAAAACGAAACAAAACGAAACAAAACGAAACAAAACGAAACAAAACGAAACAAAACGAAACAAAACGAAACAAAACGAAACAAAACGAAACAAAACGAAACAAAACGAAACAAAACGAAACAAAACGAAACAAAACGAAACAAAACGAAACAAAACGAAACAAAACGAAACAAAACGAAACAAAACGAAACAAAACAAACGAGACAAATAATTGTCATGCATTCGGCCTAATTCTAGGGGGAGGGGTATAGGGTTGCTTAGTAGTAGCAGCACCTACCTTGGAGTCAGGTTGGACTCGCGGTGTGACGATTGCTTGTGCCTCGTGTCTCGTCTCGAACCCTTCGCCTGGCTTCAACTGTCCGGTCGTCATATCCAGACCCAGATTCGGGCTTTGATCCTTGTCGAATTCACGCTTGTCTTCTTCCCCAGTCGGTTCGCCAGTTGTCACGTACTAAACGCATGATCGTCAGGAAAACCGACTGTTACATTCTGGCAAGCGCAATGTTAGATAGAGTGGGAAATGACTGAAACTCCATGACTACCATTTCTAACCCAAATCCCTGAGAATCAGCTCAGACGATCTGTCTGATGCGACTAATATCTTTTGTGCACATTACTCGAGTTTCCGTCGGCCGTTTTTCCTACTTGTATCTCACAAAATGACCAGATGCGTCTAATTTTCTCGTTTGCGCCTGTATCTATTTTCGGCAGCAAATTCAACCTCCCGTAATGGTTTTGCATCAGGTCAACTCATGTTTCAGTCTGTACAATATTTACTGATTTTTTATATCATTAACCTCTAGATGTAACACACTACGCCCATGTGGACCCTCGTTAACGAGAGGTTCAGCCGGATTCATTTGAGTCACCTGTAAATAAAACAAATTCATGCGCAGGTCAGAGAATTTATCAGAACCTTTGTTATAAAGGGTTGAAGTTGCTCAGGTAAGAAACGTCAGTTAATTGTAATCAACCTTCCTGATGTAGCCAGTTGTCTGTTTCTTAACTCATGGTTAATGGACGGGTTAATAGACAGCTCAAACGAAAAGAACGATTATTCTTGGTACGCTGGAAGCAAAGAACAGTATGAGATTGCTGATAGTGTGAGGAAATCTGAGAATTTCCGATTGGGTTTTCGTCCTGTCAGTAAAGCTGAAAGCCAAGAATCACTGTGCAGTTGTTTTGTTTTTATTTGGAATCATCAGCGGTTTGAGTTTAACAAAATGGTGACAGTTTCGAATAGGCGAACCTCCGCCCGTTAGTTTGAACACTGAATCGTTCGACCACAACTGACCGATCGGCATTGTGGCTAACTCACTCACAAGATATGTCGTCACTCAACCTTCATCACGGAAAATAGATCACGTGGTCACGTGCTGACTGGCTCCTCGAGCGACGACTTCTCAGACAGAGGTTCCACTCGCCACTTGAGTACTATTCTTTCTCTGAGCTGCTTATGGAGAGTTGATAGTGATATTCGATAGTGAAGCTGCTCTTATTTCAAACAGTCAGCTGACATTTAGCCATATTAGGCAGGTGAGACGTTGGACACCGACAAATTAATCAACTGGTAAACTTCAGTAGATTTGCTTGGGATAACTAACAAGTCTCGATAATAGGTGACAAACTTACGTGGCTATTACTGCCGATTATCCCACCATATGGACAAGCTGCGTATGCGTGTCCGTAACCACGTGTACCGGCTGGATTAGGTAGGCAGATGCTATTCCAGTTCCCAACCTAAGCAGAGGCAACTGACAATGCATGTTGCCACTTTACACACTGACTGGAACTGAGACTTCCAGACGAAAGCAAACAAACTGTGTTTGTCATCCCCAAGCTAAGCAGATCGCAAACAACCAGCGCACATCTTCGCAGGTGGTCTGGCGGATGTACAGCACAGTGACCGTCGCGACTGGTCGTATATATTGAATTCTTCTCAACTGGTGCAAACAACCAGCGCACATCTTCGCAGGTGGTCTGGCGGATGTACAGCACAGTGACCGTCGCGACTGGTCATATATATTGAATTCTTTTTTCTCAACTGGTGGCCGACGATAGAAGGAATCGATGGATGAATACATTCCGGAAAACGTCACTTTAATATACTACTAACAATGGGTGTGTTTTGGCACATGTGATGGCATCTAAACGCTCGAAAATTATCAGTGTGGAATTCAAATGCAAACTGTATCTACTTGACTGGAAGTGAGAATAAACACACAGTCGGGTTTGTCGTGAGTTGTGGGCCAGACGAGAAGATATCCTTACTTGGACTTGTTTTCTTTAACTGAAAGTCAGTAGAAAGGGATGAATTTGGTGGAGACCGGCTGGAACGTCTGGCGTCTCTGGTACACTACTGCTGATCACTTTTATTTAACGCTTCGCTTAGTCAATAATATCTCGACAGACCTTTGCGCTAAAATGATACTACACATCGGTGACGAATGCTTGAGAATTCCATGGGGGTCTCAGAAGCGGTTAGGCAAAAGCGGCCACAGAATCGGCTGTCAACACATTCTAATGCACGTGGGTTCAGCAAGCGCTCGTGACCTAGGTACCACACACTCACTCGGAGCGTAACATGTCCCATAAGGATCCTTACACGACCAACCTTATTCAATGAACATGAGCTCCAGTGAGTGCCTGTCCATTTTGCTGCAAACTAACCAGGAATGCTGCATCAGGACAGAATACTGATGTAAATTACCTGATGCTTACGGAACAATGTCATCTAGTCTAGTTTACTTTAGAAAAGAAAACAGAATAACAAGGGTGGACGTTCAAAGCGCAAAGAGAAAGACCGTCTGCTCTTATTTCAAACAGTCAGCTGACATTTAGCCATATTAGGCAGGTGAGACGTTGGACACCGACAAATTAATCAACTGGTAAACTTCAGTAGATTTGCTTGGGATAACTAACAAGTCTCGATAATAGGTGACAAACTTACGTGGCTATTACTGCCGATTATCCCACCATATGGACAAGCTGCGTATGCGTGTCCGTAACCACGTGTACCGGCTGGATTAGGTAGGCAGATGCTATTCCAGTTCCCAACCTAAACAGAGGCAACTGACAATGCATGCTGCCACTGTACACACTGACTGCAACTGAGACTTCCAGACGAAAGCAAACAAACTGTGTTTGTCATCCCCAAGCTAAGCAGATCGCAAACAACCAGCGCACATCTTCGCAGGTGGTCTGGCGGATGTACAGCACAGTGACCGTCGCGACTGGTCATATATATTGAATTCTTTTTTCTCAACTGGTGGCCGACGATAGAAGGAATCGATGGATGAATACATTCCGGAAAACGTCACTTTAATATACTACTAACAATGGGTGTGTTTTGGCACATGTGATGGCATCTAAACGCTCGAAAATTATCAGTGTGGAATTCAAATGCAAACTGTATCTACTTGACTGGAAGTGAGAATAAACACACAGTCGGGTTTGTCGTGAGTTGTGGGCCAGACGAGAAGATATCCTTACTTGGACTTGTTTTCTTTAACTGAAAGTCAGTAGAAAGGGATGAATTTGGTGGAGACCGGCTGGAACGTCTGGCGTCTCTGGTACACTACTGCTGATCACTTTTATTTAACGCTTCGCTTAGTCAATAATATCTCGACAGACCTTTGCGCTAAAATGATACTACACATCGGTGACGAATGCTTGAGAATTCCATGGGGGTCTCAGAAGCGGTTAGGCAAAAGCGGCCACAGAATCGGCTGTCAACACATTCTAATGCACGTGGGTTCAGCAAGCGCTCGTGACCTAGGTACCACACACTCACTCGGAGCGTAACATGTCCCATAAGGATCCTTACACGACCAACCTTATTCAATGAACATGAGCTCCAGTGAGTGCCTGTCCATTTTGCTGCAAACTAACCAGGAATGCTGCATCAGGACAGAATACTGATGTAAATTACCTGATGCTTACGGAACAATGTCATCTAGTCTAGTTTACTTTAGAAAAGAAAACAGAATAACAAGGGTGGACGTTCAAAGCGCAAAGAGAAAGACCGTCTTTGTGGACAGTTCTCTGGAGATTAAATGCCGCAGAACTCGTCCTTCAAGGACTGCCATGATGAAGTGATGTGAGGATATATGATTCCCGTGTTGATCTACCGATATGTATTGGCTGGAAATGATGCCGCACGCGTATTATTGCGTGCACGCTTCCTTTCAATAAAATAGTCGTGGATATCACTTCGAAAACAGGCATACCTATGCGGCTTTCAAGGCGCATCCAGTCATATCCACCACGGGCTCCATAGAGGAGGCATTGTTTTTTTGAATTCTTGGTAAAAGTAAATTAAATTCACCCATGTCTAAGACAGAAAGTTTGTTAACAGAGGCTGAAAATTAACAGCTACATTGGTCTTTGTACACATTCTGTATCGAGGCGAGGAAGTGATATTGAGGTACATTGTTATGCATGGGCGGTGTCGCATGATGACACGCCCTTCCCCTGGTGGTTCCATCAACTATCACAGCAGGCGAGCTCATTTAGAAGCAGGTGAACGAATCCTTTTTTTAAACTTACAGTTGCACCAGGATAATGAATTTGGCTTCTTCGCATTTGAGTTTCGTCGGTCTGTGACTGATCCTCTTCCTTTAACGGGGCTAGTTTATATGTTTGTACACCACCCACAAGTTTATCACCAACTCGCGCATGTTCAGAGTCCTGAGGAAGTGCAAAAATGGAATAATTATCATCCTATCAAGAAGTGGCTTGTCGTTTTCACTGAAGTAACTTTCACGGTGAGTATTACTTAAAAAGATTGTTCGAATTGTTAGCATTTATTAACGGATATGAATAATATGCGAAGAAGACCATTTATACCTTATGTTGAACTAACCTCTGTTCACTAATGGTTGGTTTTGATCTGTTTGCAACGCATGTGAACATTTCGACACCAATCGAAGGAACATCATCCGTGCACTATTGGGGCCATCTCGACCGATGGCGAAATTTTTTGCAAGCTAAACCCCCATTCGGTGAACAGATGTAGGGCCACTAGGCATCCCACCAATGAATGCACTCGGGCTACCAATGATCCGCTGCATTTTCGGACCTCTGTCCGTGGTGTCAGCAACCAGAGAGCCAGAAGGCACCAAGTGCATGTGACTGCACCACCGATCAGTTACTCGTTTGACTGGTCCACACTACTTAGGCAATCTTTGAGTGGTGTTGTCTGACATCACGTTCTCACGTTCAAGTGATTGGCCATTACGAACTCACATCATTTTTAGTGCCACTGATTATTGATATCAGCTTGACTTGTCGTGAGGACTGATCTAACTTTCGGTTCACATGAATAAAACCCAGACATAAATGGCGTGGATACGTAGCTGTTTAGCTTGTCGACAATAAAATCTGTCCAAGTTACCCGACTGAAACGGAGCTGTGTTCTATTGAACATTCGTCCTAGGGAAGCTAACCAAAATATCCTCTGGAAAGAAACATCATTTAATTGAAATTTCAACGGTTTTGTCTGCTTAACGGGATAAATTCTACATACAAACTCAACATGCTCCCCAGGAATGTCAGTTGGGGTAGTTTTTAAAGCTACTAACCTTTGATGTACTTTGATGTACTTTGATGTACTAGCCTTTGATGTACGGTAAGATCCGGGACAAAGATAAATTGCCAGCGTTTTTCTCCCTAAATTTAGCCATTTGATTTGGATGTACCTGTGATCCATGGTTTGTCGCACGGTACCACAGCTGTTTGGGAGAATCTGAGAACACCAACCACATAGGATGAAACAAGGAGCATTGGTCATACTCCGCTGTGTCTCAATTTATCGCCCCCGACCACAAAATAGAAGCATATACAAAGGGTTCTGAGTTGTCTGTCGCCTTGCAAACCTTTCGTTAAAAATCGTATATTTACGCACATCGGCCACGGAAAAAAATGGCTGAGCGTCACTCACTCCAAATAACCTTTAAGCTCGTTCTGATATCTAGGTCGCTCTGACATGATGGCCAGTTTGGCGTGACCGAATTCCCGTAGCCACTTTAACTCGCCCATTCACTTACTTCGAGCAGATAAAAAACCTTTTTGCCATGCTAACATATTGGAATTTTTCGCGCTGTAGAACACAAGTTTGCGGTCACAGCTTGCCGCTCTTGTTACTTACAATGCTCACTTTTACGCCAGTCACATCCGTCTGAACAAAATCGACCAGCAATAAAGAGAATAGCTTAATTTCTAAATATCCTATTTACACACCTTTTCTCTGACCTTAGTAGTTTGACACTTGTTCGATCCTCGTCGCTTACGATTAGTATGCCAAGACTGTATGTCAGGTTGTCTGTGGTTCTTTAGAATTATCACGCCGTTCTCCAGCCGCCATTCTGGGTAGGCGGAATCAGTTATTGTACTAGAGTACCGAAACATTTAGTCTTGTGTTCAGTTCAACAGCTGCTATGCCAAAAAGTCTGTCTACCTACTTTCCGCTGGAGTAACCTGTCCCCAATTTCCTAATAGATGGAAAGATTAATTTTGGGGCGTTTCTTGACTCGTGTGCTGTGACGGATTGCCATGACTGTCTAACTCGCCAGTCAGCCTGTCAGTCAACCCGTAATCTGTAAAAACAATGACAGTAAGTTGTGCACGGGCTAAGCGCTCCGAGCGCGATAGATCGACGGTCGCAAAACAGACGGCACACTCACAGCAAGGAGACTAGTTATTAATTGGTATGCAAAGTGTACGGAGTTCGTAAACAAACACCGTCTCAGCAGGACGTGGTGTAGACAAAGTAGTGTACAGACTTACCCATGAATTTTCGGTTCTTTTAGTAAAAAAAACAACGAAATAGCATGCTAATCACGGCAATTATTTGCTTGATTTACGGTCTTTAGCCTTCAGTAAGGTTGGTTTCCATCATCACCTACTGTGTCACTGAATTCTACGAGAATTTGAAGCACTGGAGACGTTAGTGGGTGTGGCGTCTGACTTCGTCATATGCCTCAAGATGTATGTGGTTTCATCTATTGTATACAAAGCATCGGAGCCGATGTTGTCCAGCTTTTTAATAACAACCACTGAGGTACACTACTAACCAGTGCGATCTCAGGATAGCCCAGCGGTTAAAGTCCGAACTTACCGTCCTAATGGTCCGTGGTTCGAATCTAACTCCTACGTCTCGACTGCTTGTGTCCAGGCTTGGGCAGCCTACCAGTATCTCTGCACTCGTGCTAGCTTCGGGTGGCATGGCAGCCAGATACCGAAATGGTGTTAGAGCCGTAGGGTTATTTTTCTTTTAATATATATTTTCTAACCAGCTGAAATGGATCCAAATCTTTTGGCGTATGTAGGTGACTACAACGCTAAAGACTGTGATGCAGTGAAAAAACACTTTTCATTGACCTAACTATGCGGCATTAGTTCTTCTCTAAGTAGCCAGGGAAAATGTCAGTGAAATAGTAAAGCCAGTGGAGGACATGAACAATGACGGATAGTGAGCGAACGAATAGCATTCTCAGTCTGAAAGCAGTTTAGCCATGGTAATTCCGGGTTATTCCACATCATTCTTTGAGGAAAAAGTTATCATCCACTAGCAGTAGCAATTCATCAACAGCCTGTTGTTTACGAGTATTCGCATAGAGGGAAAGAAACACACTTCTCGGCGTTCTGAAATACTGAGTAAAACGGGGGAGTTCTTGAGATTACCCAACAAGTTCGCTCAAACGTCCTGTTATTCGATGTGGAAAGATTATATTCACAATACATCTAAATGTCACCAGCATATTTACACCCACAGAAGGCAGCAAGATTAGGATTTGGGAGGCAAGATGAAAAGACAAAAAATTTCGGTTGGAGTCGGTAGTGAAGAGGTCTTTTGATTACACATACAACTGAATTGGGTTCATCCGTAGGCATGATAAAACATGGCTGGTTGCACCCAGCAGCTGGACGCGTGGCTGGCATATCCTAAATCTGCTTATTCTATTTAACAGAACTACAGAAACAGGAAAATGTGTAGGCTGGTACACGATTTATAGCTGAATGTCTAACTGGTTACCTGCGAGAAGGCTATCATTGTGTTGCACCGCAATTAAGTTTCAAGAAGTTAGGCTGATGAGTAGCGAAATATAAGTATGCCGGTCTCTGGTGAGTGCAGGTGACCTCGACCGAGATCCCCTATTCTCTGCTCTGTATGAGTTTGGAGTAAAACTACACTTCAGCGAGGGGACGAACTGTATCAGCTGTAGAGATCACGAACTCGAGATAACTACGAACCGATCCTGGATTTGTCAGTGATGACCAGTGCTGAAAAGAACATTGTTTACTAAACCTTGGCTTAAATCAGTGATCACTTTTGTCCTTTTAGGCCAGCTGGACTGCGAAAGAGCAGAACGCTGACAGCACTCATGTTCAACCGACTGCTAAATATATTGGAAGTTTTAATTAAGTCTTCCCAAAATCCTGACTCTCTAAAAAGATGACTCATTGTCTTAGGTCAGGGCGAAGATAGCTATACTCGTTCGGTCGAAACTTCATTTCCTACTGTCGGGCTATGTTCTGGGTCTGGTACTACTACGAAAGCTCGCACCGAGGCTAAAGATGGGTTCTTCATATTTCCTTCATTTATCAGATTACATTAAAATACCCTTCTTATAATTCAGTGAAAGAATTCGATAAATTTCCAAACTTTTGTTCACAAATATGACCGATTTGTTGCTTCCAACAGTAATTTTTAAGTACGCTTCAAATGATACGTTCAAGCTCATTACTGATGAGCGTGCTGCAGTCCAACCAATAATTTCCGCTGGAGCCACAATCTTCAAGGTTATCTGACTTGTTCTGGTGTTTCTAAGAGGGACTTTCCTTTCCGTCCCCACCTAATAGAACGCTGGTAGTTTGCTGTCGCGTCCTGAATGCATGTCAGAATTCGTTTTGGTGAAGACTGGTGTAGTCGTATGAGTCATGGTTTTAAGAAGAAAAAACTGTTCTCAAGTACGATGAACACTTGGGGAAACATACGATAATCTAATTCAACACAATTTTGAGTGCCAGGAAGCAAACGGCCGCAATTCGCAGCGTTCTCACTGCCAAACATTTCATACATATTCTGCAATTTCAGTTATAAATTGCAGGTACTCTGACGGTTATTCACTTATCGAACTTAATTTATCAGCTTTTGTCATTTGCTTATTGACTGAAACTGCTTTGACTGGTTCGAGCACTGCTGGTGTGGCTGACCTCCGATTCTGCAGTCAAATCTCTGGATGACGCGAACTTTACGTTTCGCAGCTTATTTCAAACTGAGGTTGATCGCACACCAGTTTTCTCACCAGTCGTGTTTCACAATAAAGATGGCACTAACCCAAAAATAATCGGTTACTCAAGTAGTTAGCTTTGTCTCTTCCCTTCACCCCATCGGCAATAAAGCATCATTTACGATGTAGTTTTTGCCCACTCATCAAAACATCCACCACATATATCGTTGAAGACGATAGATACTACGGGTAAATAGTCGGTGAATGTTGTCAAACCGCACGCCTTCAATTTCAACGCAGTTCCAGTCATGACGCACCGATAATGTCCCCGCGACAGGCCATGAAACGCTTACAACCAAATAGCTCATCTCAGTGAGCTAACTAACGGCCATAGCTGATTTGGGATTGTATGGAGTTAACCAGTTTGAGACTCTCGTAATTTCCCCAAATTCTACTCAAGTTTACGACGAACCTCAGCCAAGTTGGAACCGACAATATTTATGCTGGAAATAGTTCACGAATTTCACATCTATAATTGTGCCACCGGAAAACTCGATTAGAATCTCTTAAGAACACTGAATTTCACAGATACCGATACTCGGCAGTCTTGCGATCTCTCGAGAAAATGTTATTTATAAGATTCATTGGTGGAGTGGTGGTAACATGCTCACCTCGCATGTCAGAAGTTCGGAGTCTAGACTTTTGCATAGCCAAGGAAATTAACAGCTGATGAGTTCTAATAGGCACAGAACCCAGGTCCAGTATTTCCTCCATCTGGAGTGGACTCACCAAAATAATGACCCCTGGACAGGCTTGGTATGCCACAAGAAGCACTTCAGTAGTAACGACGGAATGGTTTAACTCAATCAGATACATGATAGCTGAAGTGGAATTGGGCTTTCCACTTTTCCGGGACAGACTAAGTGAACAGTTTCCGAGGATTTGCCTTGTCCCGCAACTGATGTCTGATGTTTTGCATGGACATCCGAATCAGTACACAAAAGCTGGTTGTAGGTAGCCGTACTCGTCGTCTGGTTTTATGCTAAATGGAAGTTTCAAACGGAAGAAAGCACATAAATCTGCCGACGTGTAAGTCGTCTCCGCGATTTCATTTTGGCCACAGACTCCTTTGGGAGGGGTATAAGTGTAAACTGGTTTCTTCTCAAATCACACTAATTTCGGTCTGGGTTCTACCGACTGTATGCTGGTTTAAACAAAGCAGATTGATTGTCCTTTTTGGATGTCATCTGGCCGTCTTAATTCGGCTTTCAGTGTGCCATCCAAGAAAATTCTTACTTCTTTGTCATCCAGGTATTGTGTAACATTCCTGTTTTGTTTTTGGGGACCGAAGCCCACAAAAGTGACATACTGTACTTTACAGGCTGGTCTCCGGGAACTGCTATCTAAAGTGTACCACTGTTCATTCTAGCCATCTCAGTGCAAAAACGCTTCGTACGGACACTCAAGCCCAACCGGCCGGCAACCATTGTTAACAAAAAAGACTTGCCATTCGGGAACATGCACAGAAAACAGTATTTGTTTGCCATCTTGTTATTGTGATGACCTCTCCTCTGTGTTTGCAGGATTTAATGTCGTGTGCTCGTAAGTACACTTCCAAACGATACATCTCGAGTGTTTTACCTCCGCAAGTTATGAAAATATGCAAAGCATTAACACCTCTTTGTCCAACTCTGCTGGCCGTTTTTTTTCAGACTCAATTGGGGAACCCAGTGTTTCTTCTCATTATGCATTACAAATAGTAAGCAATATACGATTCACTACAGCAAACATGTTTTCGGAAACGTTCGTACCGATAAGTTTTGGAATAGGTCAACACTGCCTCTCGTACCATTCTATCATTTCGATAATCATTTTGGGGGTTGAGGCAACGATCTGAAAGACATCATACACCACAACTTCACCATCCCGTTGGTTGTGAGCGGAACCTTAGACGACATGACTCTTAAGGAATGAATTCCATTGTATGAAACCTATGTACCGGGATGCACTCGAGTCGTTTGAATCCATTGACCGGCAATTCGATGAGCCGAGAGTTCTTGCCAACCGCCTGACGGAATTAGTTCCCTCCGTTTTGGTAGTGCACCGGAAGTTTCCAGAAAGAGTACTTCTCATCACACTTCTTGCTTTTGTTCTGCTTGGGTGGCTATCAGCCGAATTGGGAGGACGAATGTAACATCGAGGTGGAAGGATGTCCATGATGAAAGCAGACATGAACAACTGCCCCCTCCCCCGCACACTGAGCACTTTATTTTCGAGAATACTGTCCTCTTTCCACTTGATTACTTAGGTAACACACGACGTACCCTGTTTGAGCCACCTTAAGTGCGTCAGCCTACTGAAGCTCGTGCATACAGACGGTCTCGGAGTCAACCTGGTACAAGTCTGACCCCTTATCAGCCCAGAGGTTTCACTTTCAAGTGCACATCCAAAACGGGAGCAAACTCTCTAATGGACGGGCAAGTGCGCGCATGTTTTGCGTTGAAAACCCACAGGAGAATTCGGGGAGTCGTCCACGCCACAGCTGGCCCGCTGGCATAATTAAGCGTGAGGGTTGAGCGAAACGCTGAGTCATCACTAGCTGTCCTCTCGGCCAGCGTCGGAACCTTCCGCCGCAGAGCGGAGATTATCATCTACACCTTCTATAGGTTGTGCAAAACACATTTACAATGTTGCTGAGAACTCTTCGAAGGCCCACTACCGGCTTTGTCCTTTTTGGGGTTCATCAGGCGCATTGCCCGAGTTTCTGTTAACAGAATTGCACGAAATTCGACAAACAAACTCTGATGCTTGCCAAATCGGTTTTCACGTGAGACACATCTGCAGCACATTCAGTTGAAGAAGAACGATTTAGACAAAAGCTGTCCTCTCGGCCAGCGTCGGAACCTTCCGCCGCAGAGCGGAGATTATCATCTACACCTTCTATAGGTTGTGCAAAACACATTTACAATGTTGCTGAGAACTCTTCGAAGGCCCACTACCGGCTTTGTCCTTTTTGGGGTTCATCAGGCGCATTGCCCGAGTTTCTGTTAACAGAATTGCACGAAATTCGACAAACAAACTCTGATGCTTGCCAAATCGGTTTTCACGTGAGACACATCTGCAGCACATTCAGTTGAAGAAGAACGATTTAAACAAAAGACTCAGCCGGAATTCAGGTGAGTCACCCATGAAAACCAAGTCGATATGCAAGTGAGTGTATTTATGCTCTAAGCTCTTCATAGAAAGTCTGTTTGGATGAAGGCAAGTAAATCTGCATCCTGTATTGGTCAATAAATCTATGTTTGCCTAGTGTCGCTGCACATCACGATTTCGTTTCATGTGAGATAAGTCAGACTTACTTTTAAGTTAGCTTCCACAACGCCTTGTAAACCATCAGGAGATTCCACTTGTTTCTTTCCTCCAAGCTTCTTTTCTTCATCCAATAAGGATTGTTCTGAACTGATTACCGGCATGCCGAGTCGGTCAGGGACGCCCGACGCTACATCTCTATCAGAGGAACTCATCTTGCCCTGAAATGAACGAAGTTCGTTTTTGAATAGGACGTACGTATAGGGCGTTTGAACAAAAACATCTATAATCATTCCCTTTCCTGGAATAGTTTATACTCTGCTCGAAGGTGTCATATAGTTTTGGCGCCTCATTCAAGTCGGAACACAGTGTGTTTGCTTAGATACAGGGAATTCCCATGGGAGTACTCGGTGCAGCCTTTTTCTCGACGCACGTTTTGAATTATACACCTTCACCTCTTGGTCGCTCGCTTTTTTCCGTTTATGTTGTTTATATTGTTGTTTCTCAGTATATACGATCAACATTCAATGCTAAGCAGCCATCATGGGAAAGGAGTATAGGTATGATATTCAAAAGTGTTTCACCCCCGGTTAGGGCTTCTTTATTTGGAGGATTCCGGAGCTTCAAATCTTTATGAGTTGGTCACTCATAGCAAGACTGGCTATAACTTGCTATGAATCACAATAAGTCGCACTAGATGTCTAATAAAGCCCAACGTTTTCACAATCAGGGCTGGATTCATGAGCGGAAGACCATTTAACCTAGTTTGCTGAAGGAGTCTGTGGCGTTTCAAAAGTGATTCCATTTGTCTCTAGGGTGCTCCCTATGTCAGAAGGAAGCCACAGGAGAAAGAATTCGGCAGGCTCCTTATATCTGGTTTCGTAATAAAAACATCAGTAGATTTGATAAGGTATTCCGAAAAAGCCTGACTTCGATAGGAGGTGGCGTTCTACCACAAGGTGACCGGTGGCCGTCTCAAGATAGCTCAATGGTTAAGAAGCTAATATATTGACCAGAACGTCTGCGACTCGAACTCACCTCTGGCACACTGTCTGCTCCTGCCGAGGGCTGATCATCCTGGTAGTATTTTGACCCTCGTGCCTCCTTTAAAAGAGCATGCAAGATGTGCACCAAAAGGGTAGTACGGACGAATGACGTGTGCCGTAATTTACAGAGCTTGCCGCCTTCACTACTAGAGAACAGCATCCGAAGCAGACTCTTGCCACAAGACAGTAGACAGCAGATGCGCCTAAGTTATTCTCACATTGGAAGTATTACTCATACGTATCCTGACCCTCTCTTGCGATGGACATATCATTCATTAAAATGGTTACGTGATGCCTTGATAAGAAAGAACAGTGCACGATGAATGCTGACCATGACCTGAGATTTGGAACAGGGAAAAAGGGATTTGGTATCAATAGCGTCCATTAGAATGTTGTATTACGCATTAGCAGGTGACAACCAAGCTCTAATTTCTCGGAGTGTATGACAACTGTTCATCTATGACAATCATAACCTGAATAGTTTAGGGGAATCGACCCATATGGTTTGTAGTGCTCAGGAACGCTACTTTGTCCTCTGTTTCATGGCCCTTCCTGGGGTGGGTGGCTGTGGTAAACCAATCCTCATTAAGCATAGAGATGATGCTTGTTGATGAATGGCTAACTAGAGTGTTTCTAAATACGTGGGTGGCCGAGATTAGGGTGTATCAGGAAATGAGTGAATTTTCACTTCAAAAATAATCAGGATCTTGTATGGATTGACGATATCAGGACCTCCTTAAGTTATACATTCTTTGTATGTCGTTAAGTAATGCCAACGGATACCATACCTGCAAATGAACTTGCTCGGGTGGCTTTGAGCTGTCCATTACCGATCCCTTTTTATCCTCCCGTTCACCTGTGGAGGAATCCAATGAGTTGACTTGGTTTCCAAGGTTCACATCCGCAAGCAAGGCGTTATCAGTCAGTTTCGTTGCATTCTGGAACGACAATTATTCAGAATGCTTTGAAAAGAAGTGAAATGAAATTTTATCATATATTTTTTGTTGATCAGTTCGCCGAGCCTGCCAGTTGGCTTAAAGATGTCCTCATGCAAGGAGACATCGTCAGTACGTGCAGTAACCGCTACAGTTCCATTTATCCCTATGTTGTTTTGAAAACCGCTCTAGAAAATCTGTAGCCAAGCTCTGCAGTCAGCTGACCTCTACCAGAACGACGGTTGTTTTCGCCTGGGTCATGGGAGCAGGGATACACAATCACACAGAACGGACAATAGACCTTGAAGCCTAGTTACAAAAGCTGGATAACTCTCTAAATGTAGTGACAACCAAGTTTACTGGCATGACTGATTGATAAGCATGTGATAGGCAGTGGTTTTCACACATTGGGCTGACTGCCTCATCACTAACAGAGAAACTCAGTGTTGATATAATTTCAGACTTGAAGCACTGACGTCACGAAATTTGATGCCAACCCTATGTAATTTCAACCACACACTCGTTTGTCCTCAGGCGGTTACTTTAAGACTGCCTGTTTTATTATTCTTGAAAACTGTAAGCGAAACTGCGGGATGATAGATAGATAGGTATCACATTTATTCCGATATAAATATCTGTCCAACAAGGGTGGTACGATCACTCTACTTCTAACAAACCATTCCGGCCGTTTCCTTCCTATGTGATTCCTAATGACTCCCCAACTGTGCTTTCTTTTTTAAAAAAATATCACATCTGTTGGATGACCCAAAAGCAAGACAGTGTTCGACCAAAAAGCAGAACAAGATCATTCTTGCCCACACTTTGGGATAAGCCTTGTTGCGGAAGTAAATGTCAAGGTATCATTACATCTCCTCATAACAGCACTGAACACAGGCCGACAGGAAAGCAGCGTACAATATTTAGGGCCGACGTCATCAGTCGGCAAAAACGAGCATTTTCGGCAATTTTCCATCTAGACTACAACACGAATAAGGATAGTGAATTTATCGTGACCAAAGTGGTTCTTGTGTTTAACACAGTTGACATAACATACAGGAATTGGATGTTATAGAGATGGAAACTTCAAACATCTGTATCAGAAATGAGATGAACTGTGAGTGAATGATTCTCATTTGAAAAGAAAAATGGAACCCTACCTTGACGGAACAAATTCTGTAGGTGGGCTTGTTCGTTAAGCAAACTGACATACAGATATATTTTCGGGATTTTCGATCACCACGCATGAATAAACAATCCAAAATTGCCCAAAATTAAGCATCCCCGAATTTAAAAGATATCCCAAGAGATAGAGAAGGAATACGGCAAAAAGTTGGTCATACTAAGATACTCTCCTAAGAATGTAAACGTGATGTAGAAAAGAGATGTAGCATAAGGTGATAGAATAAACACTGCTTAACTATCTATCTATCTATCTATCTATCTATCTATCTATCTATCTATCTATCTATCTATCTATCTATCTATCTATCTATCTATCTATCTATCTATCTATCTATCTATCTATCTATCTATCTATCTATCTATCTATCTATCTATCTATCTATCTATCTATCTATCTATCTATCTATCTATCTATCTATCTATCTATCTATCTATCTATCTATCTATCTATCTATCTATCTATCTATCTATCTATCTATCTATCTATCTATCTATCTATCTATCTATCTATCTATCTATCTATCTATCTTCTATTCTATCTATCTATCTATCTATCTATCTATCTATCTATCTATCTATCTATCTATCTATCTATCTATCTATCTATCTATCTACTATCTATCTATCTATCTGTACATCTATCGTTTATCCTGCTAGTTAGCTAACTGATCGCCTCTTCCGTTCCCTCAGTTCACTGTGACCGTCTTTCCAACTAATTTATCCCTCATTTTATCTCTTGTGATATCTACCGATTTCTCCATGCTAATAGTTCTAATTCTGGCTTTAAGAACACGGGAATTGACAAATTCTTTAGTGAAGGATAAGCCTGTCGTACTCCATCGATACATCTGACACCCATCAACTCGATTGGGTCCGCTGACAGTGTTTTAACAAGTAGTTCACAACCAGTTGCCCGCACATCTGAAGATTCCATCTTACTGAGAACAAACTTACCTAAGAACATATGTCATTTTTCTTACCGAAACTCTCGGTGTACTGTCATGCACACGTTGCGTTTGGATTCTCCAGCACAATACAGGAAGACAAAAGCTGTGCGCCTAGAATTATCATATTATGGCAGTGTCACTCTGCTTGCCGCAGTAGCGTGCACTGGCCGATCAACGCAACTGGCGGTTTTCGTTCAAGCCTGGAGAGTACTATTTTACCAAGAGAACCCAGTTCACATGTCCCGGAATTCGGAATTCCTTATCACTAATAATCCACCAAATCATCTTACAATCTCTATTTCTTCCCTGTTCAAGACCTACTTGATCATGCTCTTGTATGCCGTTGCAAGTCTGGTGATAAAATGGTCAGTGGTTATGAATGTCGCATTTAAGAAGATCATATGGATTTACCGACCGGCATAAACGACTTCAACGACCATAGGACAGCTTGCTGTTTCCGAATTCCTCAAAATACCAACGTAACATTTTTAGCTCTCTTAAGGTAAGCATGATCAACGTCCTGTTCGAAGCTTGTCATTACTACTGGGCAGTAGAGTTTTCGCTCCAAGATCCATTGATATGAATAT